TCGATCTCCTGACCTCGTGATCCGCCCGTCTCGGCCTCCCAAAGTGCTGGGATTACAGGCTTGAGCCACCGCGCCCGGCCTTTTTTTTTTTTTTAAAGCAAATCTGAGTTATATCGTTCCAGCCATAAATATGATCATAATACCGTGATCATGTCCAACAAAATGGACAGACTCCTGAGTGTTCTCCAGGCTGCAGGCCCTTGTGCAGTTTCCCTTTTGTCTCACAAGTGACTGCGCTGGCATCGGAGCAGCACCCCAAGTCTCTCTGGTTTAGAACAGCTCCCCCTTGCATCCCCTCCTGTCCAGGTTTCTCCCATCCGTCTTTTGAAGGACCTTGGTCATTGGCTTATGGAACTGCCTGCATGCGGGATCTGGCTGCTTGTGCCCTGGTGGTGGTCTTTTATACCCATGTTTTCCTTTAACTGGTAGGATCAGGGGCTGGGTGAGCGTCAGGTTTGCTTTGTCCTTTGGCGAGAAGGCTCATAGCTGGCGCTGTGTTCTCCAGGCTCCTGAAGGCGTGTGGCAGCCGGCTGACCGAGAAGCTCCTGGAAGGTGCTCCGACCGAGGACACCTTGGTCCAGATGGAGAAGCTCGCTGGTGAGGCGGGGTGCTGTTGCCGGGGCCTTGGCCCAGATGGCCGTGGGGCGGTACCAGCTCTCTGCTCTCCTGGCAGGAAGAGCTGAGGGAGGGAAATGCGGATCTGAATCAGCCCAGAGGAGCCTTCGGGGAGCTCACCCTCTGATCTCGGTGTGATGGTTGTGATTTCCTGTCTCACTTGCCTTGACCGCCGTGTGAAAGAATCTGTTCCCCAGCTAGGTGGGGAAAATTCACAGGTGGGCTATCCCTAGAGAGAACTGGCTGATTGAAGGCTTCTCGTCCCGATTTTGTGATAGCCAAGTGCGTGGCCTGGTTGGACCCAAGTTTTCCATCAAGGGCAGTGGTTCCCTGACCTCCCAGGTGCCTGGGCTTCCCCAGATTCCTGATCTGGGGCTCTGGGTCCTGTGTCTGGGGATCCTGGTACTGTGTCGCCAGCCTGGAAGCACTGGGCCAGTCTTGGCCAAGCTTTCCATCAGGGATGATTTGATCTTGGTGCTACAGGTCTGTGGTTACGACCATTGTTCCACACCGTGAGTCATTAATAATGCTTCCCATGCTTCTGCTTGCAAATGACCGGCCTTCCAAACAGCTGGAGCTATTTCGAGGTGTTTCTGCAGGCAAGTGCAGGCGTGCCCTCAAATAAGCTTTGCCAGTGGACTCTTAGCAAGAGTGGAACCCGGTCAGGAAAGACAAAGCCTGGGAATCCACCCCCATGCCCTGTGGGTTGGCTGGCCCTGGAGCCATTTATTATAGTGCCAGTCATGTTTCTAGGCAGGTGCAGATGGCAAGGGCAGTGTCTTGGTGAGCTTTTTAGCACAAAGAGCTGGGTCTGTCGAAGCCTTTGTGAGAGCTGGAAACACAGGTGTGCTGGGCATGCGAAGTGTGGGGTTTCGGGCTCAGGGCCTCAGACAGACCTGGCTTCTCGTCCTGGCTCTGCTTCTCACATGCACCCTTCCCTTTGGGTCTCGTGATATGAAATGGAGATGTCGTCATTTGTGAGGGCTCCATGAAGATTCATTGAAATGACAAATACTCATTTCTTCATCTGCGAAATGGAGATAATAGTGCTGACGTCAGAACAGCTGAGAGGACTAAATGAAATGATGTTGGATGCAGCCATAAAGAAGAGTGAAGTCGGGCACTGGTGCATGCCTGGAATCCCAGCACTTGGGAGACCGAGACAGGCGGATTGCTTGAGCTCAGGAGTTTGAGACCAGCCTGAGCAACATAGGGAGGTCCAGCCTCCAGAAAAAATATGAAAAGTAGCTGGACGTGGTGGCGCATGTCTGTAGTCCCAGCTACTTGGAAGGCTTCGTTGGGAGGATCACTTGATCCCAGAAGATTGAGGCTGCAGTGAGCCGCGATCGTGCCACTGCATTCCAGCCTGGGCAACAGAGCCAGACCGTGTCTCAAATAAAGAAGATGGGAATAGTAGACACTGGGGACTGCAGAAGGAGGGAGGGAGGGAGGTAGGGAGGGGAGCAAGGGCTGAAATACTTTCTATCGGATACTATCTGGGCATATTACTTCCTGTGGTTCACTGTCTGGGTGACAGGATTCATAGAAGCCCAAACTTTAGCACCACGCAGCATACCCTTGTAACAGCCGCACACGTACGCCCTCAATCTAAAATAAAAGTGGATTGGGAGGCCGAGGCAGGCGGATCATGAGGTCAGGAGTTCGAGACCAGCCTGGCAGATATGGTGAAACTCTGTCTCTACTAAAAATACAAAAATTAGCTAGGTGTGGTGGCCCGCGTCTGTAGTCCCAGCTACTCAGGAGGCTGAGGCAGAAGAATCACTTGAACCCGGGAGGCAGAGGTCGCAGTGAGCCGAGATGGTGCCATTGCATTCCAGCCTGGGCGACAGAACAAGATTCCGTCTCAAAAAAAAAAAAGTGGAAAAAAAAGAAACAATGTGTAGATCCTCAAGAACTGTGGCCGACTGGGTGTGCTCCGTAGACACACTGTTGGCGTTTTTCTCACTGGTTTGAGTTTTCTCACCAGCAAAGAACAGCTGACGGTCTTTCCGTAGGTGCTTCTAAGAGAGATGTGTGGTGCCCTGGGCTAAGTAGACAGCAACTGAGCCCTCCCTCCCACCCCAGGGCTCCCAGAGCAGCAGGGAGCACGGGACCTGGCTGCAGCCAGGAATCTACACTGACTGGCTCAGCCCACGACGTGCCTTGGGCTGAAGTCAGGGGACAAGACTGTTTGTATTTGTAACTCTCCGTGTTGTCTGTCTTGCAGATTTAGAAGAGGAATCAGAAAGCTGGGACAACTCTGAGGCTGAAGAGGAAGAGAAAGCCCCTGTGTTGACGGAGGGTGTAGAAGGGCGGGAGCTGACCCAGGGCCCAGCAGAGTCCTCCTCTCTCTCAGGCTGTGGGAGCTGGCAGCCCCGGAAGCTGCCAGTCTTCAAGTCCCTCCGGCACATGAGGCAGGTAGGCAGCAGGGGCAAAGCACATCAGGAACTCGGGAGGAGAGCCCAGCCGTCCCTGCCCACACGCCTTGCCTCTGGACCCTGCATCTTCAAAACCCTGCAGGAAGTGACTGACAGACTCCTCGGTGGGTGGCTGGGGGCACGGGGCGTCGGGAGTATTAGCCCTAGGATCAGTGCTCACCTTTCAGTGATGACCTAAGTATCTTCAAAGAAAAGCCCAGATAGTTGGCATCCCATGGTCCTCTAATCCTCTAAGAACCTCCTAAAGGCATTCAACAGCACCATAATTGGTTTGGATGCAGCCTGGATCCTGCCCATTGAAAGTCATGGTCATTCTTGGCTGGGTGTGGTGGCTCACGCTTGTAATCCCAGCACTTTGTGAGGCCGAGGGGGGCGGATCACGAGGTCAGGAGTTCGAGACCAGCCTGGCCAACATAGTGAAACCCCATCTCTACTAAAATATAAATAAAAATTAGCTGGCCATGGTGGTGTGCACCTGTAGTCCCAGCTACTCGGGAGGCTGAGGCAGGAGAATCACTTGAACCTGGGAGGCAAAGGTTGCAGTGAGCCGAGATTGCGCCACTGTACTCCAGCCTAGGTGACAGAGTGAGATTCCATCTCAAAAAAAAAAAAAAGAACCTGCATACAAACCATACTAGTAAACAGCAGCCAATCCATGGAATATGATTAATTAGAAGAAATAGGCAGTGTGTGTTTAGGGTGATGTGTGTACATGTGTGCCTGCCAGACATGACAGAATCTAACAGCGTTGCCTCCGGGTGTATCGAGTCAGATGCCGGGAGAGAGGGGTGCGGGTTGCTGGATTACAAGGGCAGGCTGCCTTCTTACAAGATTCTCCTGTGTGTGTTTTTCCAATGAGCACTGATTCATCAGAAGAGAGTTACTTGTTTTGGAAAATGGAGTGAGACTGATTTCATGGCAGATGTCCTTGGGGCTTCTGGATGAAAACACTCATTCCATCAAAATCCTGCATTCGGCTGAAACCTTCCTTGTCCATTGCTTATGTCGACGAAGGTTGGAAGGGGTCTGGAATTCCTCTGGAGGTGGGACTGCGTTGAGGCTGTTGGGGTTTGGTGAAACGTGGTATTGTGGTCTCTCTCTTATACTGTGTTTCAAAGCTGTGTTTGTCTTCTTAGAAGCCATGAGACAGCAGGCTGGATTTTCCTAAGGTGTGAGTGTCACGGAAGTTAATAATGGGGTGTGGGGAGAGGCTGTTCTAGGTTAAAGAGTAAGGACAGGCCGAGGCGGGCAGATCATGAGGTCAGGAGGTCGAGACTATCCTGGCTAACACGGTGAAACCCCATCTATACTAAAAATACAAAAATTTAGCCGGGCGTGGTGGCAGGCGCCTGTAGTCCCAGCTACTCAGGAGGCTGAGGCCAGAGAATGAGAGCTTGCAGTGAGCCGAGATTGCACCACTGCACTCCAGCCTGGGCGACAGAGCGAGACTCTGTCTCAAAAAAAAGAAAGAAAAAGAAGGAAGGAAGGAAGGAGAGAGAAAGAGCAGGAAGAAAGGAAAGAAAGGAAAAGAAAAGGAAGGAAAGAGAAAGAAAGAAAAAGAAAAAGGACATGGCAACGAAACGCAATCATGGTCCTGTAGTAGCTCCTGGATCCAAAGAACAGCAGCCGTCAAGCAGGCAGGTGCCCCAGGCTTGAGCACGCGGCTGGATATCAGATGCATCCGTCCGGGCCCTCCTGGCTGCAGTCATGGTCTCAGCTGTGGAGATGCCCTTGTTCTCCTGGGTGCTGCCATGTGGAGGGCCCTATAGCTTGCTTTCAAATGGTTCAGCAGAAAGTGTCTGTAGAGAGAAGGTGAATATTGCAGAAGGTTAACATTTTTTTGCTGCAAATTTTTAAAAACAAAATTGGGAGAAAGATCTTGGAGCCAGAGCTTTGAAATCGAGTTTCAGTGCAAACCTGGAGCTTCTGTCTCTGCCCCTTTAACCCTGGGCTGGGCATCCTGGGCTGGGGATCCTGGCACTGTGTCGCCAGCCTGGAAGCACTGGGCCAGTCTTGGCCAAGCTTTCCATCAGGGATGATTTGATCTCGGTGCTACAGGTCTGTGGTTACGACCATTGTTCCACACCGTGAGTCATTAATAATGCTTCCCGTGCTTCCGCTTGCAAATGACCGGCCTTCCAAACAGCTGGAGCTGTTTCGAGGTGTTTCTGCAGGCAAGTGCAGGCGTGCCCTCAAATAAGCTTTGCCGGTGGACTCTTAGCAAGAGTGGAACCCGGTCAGGAAGGACAAAGCCTGGGAATCCACCCTCATGCCCTGTGGGTTGGCTGGCACCTGCCTCCCTGAGAAGATGAGTGGCTTTTTCCTGAGCCCTGTCTTTGCTCTACAAAGTTTTATGAACACACAAATAAATAACTTAATGGGAAGGGAGAGAAAAACCATTTCTGCTAGTCACGCCGAAAGCCCTGCACTCTCTTGTTTAGGTCCTGGGTGCCCCGTCTTTCCGCATGCTGGCCTGGCACGTTCTCATGGGGAACCAGGTGATCTGGAAAAGCGGAGACGTGGACCTCGTCCAGTCAGCTTTTGAAGTGCTTCGGGTGAGAACGTCTTTTCCTTAGGTGTGCGGCGCAGGGCAGTACTGGCCTGGTGCCTGGTGTCGGGTGGGGATGCTAAGCTGCACCGACCGTCCAGCGCAGAACCGCGTGCACCACGCCGTCTCCACCTGGAGCACAGTGGGCGTGGAGACCCGGGTCTGGCCTGATGATGTTTAAATCATCAGAAGGATGAGTGCGCCTAGGCCTGAGAGGGAACAAAAATGCATATGACACAGTCTTGGAAAAAGCTTCTTTGTGGGATGTGGTAAGAGACAAACATCTGTGCAGGCAAAGATTAATATAAGAGTTAACACCACAGAGCCAGGGGCGGTGCAAGCTGGTGTGTGACTGGCGGTCCAGACAAGAGTTAGGCACCTGGTGGTGGAGGACCACCCCCCTCCGGCCTCTAGTGGGCTGAGAGTCTGGGGACTCCTCTGGCAGGAGGGAGGGCTTGGACCGGGCTGCAGGAGGCGTGTGGGGTTTGGGTAATGGAGCATGGACGGCTGGGGCTGAGGGCTTCCTCGCATCCTTGGTCTGAGTCCTGTTGTCCTCCTCAGACTATGCTGCCCGTGGGCTGCGTCCGCATCATCCCGTACAGCAGCCAGTACGAGGAGGCCTATCGGTGCAACTTCCTGGGGCTCAGCCCACACGTGCAGATCCCCCCCCACGTGCTCTCCTCAGGTGCGTGCCACCGTGGGCTGTGGGGCCATGCCCTGTGCTGAGGGTCCCCATGCCTCAGGCCCAGAGTGGAACCAGATCTCTGTCATGGGTTGTGGAGAGGAGGCCTCATTGCAGGGCCAGCTTCCCCCATGGCTCTGGGCCTCCGTGTTCTGTCTTCACACAGGCAGCAGTGGGTGAGTGGACCTGATGGGAAGGGTGGCTGGCAGGGACTGTCGTCAGTGGGCTGCAGGTCACCATCCTGGGGTGGGAGGATGTGTCCCTGGCTGGAGGATCCTGGTCGTCCTGGTGAGTGGGTGCCCATGAGACAGAGGCCTGCTGAACGCTGGGCGTGAGCCGCCTGCTTCTGTGGGCCCCACCGTCCTCTCCTTCCTCTTCTACTGTTCCCCGTCCAGCCTTCTGCTCTCTTCCAGCCTTTTTCCTCCTCTATGTGCCCGAAGTCTTCCCGGCCTTCACTGGTGCGGTCAGGGCTCAGCAAACCCCTGGTCTTTTGGTTTGGGGATATCCAGGGGGCAGCCCCCAGGGGCTCGTCAGTGACTTCCTCCAGCACAGCTGTGCTCAGCAGCTGCTGACTCACGCGTGGTCTGAGTGGAGCTGCCCTGAGCCCCCGATCAGCACCCAGGCTGGGTCCTGACTCCCTGCGAGACAGTGTCTTTTTTCCGGGTAGCATTAGAAACACAGGCTCTGGTTTCAAACAGACTTGAAATTCTTACCACTACCAGCAGGTTATTTAACATCTCCAGGCCTGTTTCCCCATCTATGGAATAGGGTCATGGTGAGACCATCCTCGTAGGGCTGCCTAGTAAGAGGTAAATTGATGTATATAAAGTACTTTGTGATTATTGTAATATAATAAATTATTAGTTTAACTGAGGCAAACGTTAACCCTTAACTATATACAAATAACCTGAAAGGTTTTTAATACCAAAGTGTTGATCTGGGCCAGCCTTTTCACCGGCAGCCTTTCCCACCGACCTGAGATGAGCCGAGTGGGGCCCGTGGTGGGCGAGCGCAGGGGAGGTGAGGAGCCATGGACCTCGTGTTGTTACAGAGTTTGCCGTCATCGTGGAGGTCCATGCAGCCGCACGTTCCACCCTCCACCCTGTGGGGTGTGAGGATGACCAGTCTCTCAGCAAATACGAGTTTGTGGTGACCAGCGGGAGTCCTGTAGCTGCAGACCGAGGTGGGTGCCCCCAGGCAGAGTGTCCTTTTCATGAGAAGATGCTCCCGCCTCGCGCTGACGCCTGCCCTTGCTCTGCCCCCGCCCTTCTCCCCAGTCGGCCCCACCATCCTGAATAAGATTGAAGCGGCTCTGACCAACCAAAACCTGTCTGTGGATGTGGTGGACCAGTGCCTCGTGTGCCTCAAGGAGGAGTGGATGAAGTAAGCGACAGTGTGGGCGAGGCCCCTTTGCTTGTGACCCTGGAGAAAACCTGGAGCTGTTTCCAAAAGAGAAGCTGGGCCATGGCCACTGAGGGAGGAGCTGAGAGAAGAGGTTGGGGGCGGGGTTCCAACTCCAGGTCCACCTGTCACTTCACGGTGGCCTCGGGAAGTGGTCGTCATCTCTGCCCCTGGCTCCTGCATGGGGGGGCGGGGGTGGCGCCTGCCTCAGAGAGCGGTTGAGTCTCGGGCAAGGGCTCTGAGCTCACAGGAGGGTTCGTAATGGAAGCTGTCATCTGCTGTGCAAGTAACCTCAAAACCTGAAAGCCCAGTAACCCATGCCCCGCTGGCTTTTTTGGTTTTTTGTTTGTTTGTTTGTTTTTTTGTTTTTGAGTCAGAGCTTTACTCTTATTGCCCAAGCTGGAGTGCAATGGCATGATCTTGGCTCACCACAATCTCTGCCTCCCGGGTTCAAGCGATCAAGCGACCTCAGCCTCCCGAGTAGCTAGAATTACAGGAATGCACCACCACACCCAGCTAATTTTGTATTTTTAGTAGAGACAGGGTTTCAGCATGTTGACCAGGCTGGTCTCGAACTCCTGACTTTGTGATCTGCCCACCTTGGCCTCCCAGAGTGCTGAGATTACAGGCGTGAGCCACTGCACCTGGCCCCACCGCTTCTTTTTTTTTTTTTTTTAAAGCAAATTTATCTCCTCCTGCCTCGATTCTTGGTGATTTTTTTGGTCAAATTTATTAATCAAACATTGTCTTGATTTAAAATCAGGCAGTGAAGCTTAGGAGCAACCAGTGTCTTCCGTGAGGTTAAGGAAGGTTTTTCTTTCTTTCTTGGCATCTTGACAACAGCTTGAGGGAGGGTGTGGGAAGCGCACAGGCCCCGTACCCGACAGAGGGCCGAGGGCCGAGCCCGGCCCCGACAGCTTCCCTTCCTTGCTGGGACATAGCTCCTTTCAGCAGTTCAGGGGCCGAGCCCACTGCCCCGAGCATGTGGATTCCAGCTCTGCCTGCACAGCTCCTGCTGGTGCTGAAGCCGCGTCGCCCCCGGTGGGCCCCCGTGACCAGGGCTTGGGGGATTGGGCTGTGGCGTCTGAGTGTTTTGTTTTCGTTCTCTTCAGCAAAGTGAAGGTGCTTTTTAAGTTCACCAAGGTGGACAGTCGACCCAAAGAGGACACACAGAAGCTGCTGAGCATCCTGGGTGCGTCCGAGGAGGACAACGTCAAGCTGCTGAAGTTCTGGATGACTGGCCTGAGCAAGACCTACAAGTCACACCTCATGTCCACGGTCCGCAGCCCCACGGCTTCGGAGTCTCGGAACTGACCCGCCCCACACACCTGCCCGAAGACGGGGATGGCTGTCCGCAGACTCCTCCAGCCCCGCGAGAGGAACTGTCCCTTGAGTTTCTGAACTGCTGGGAGGAGCTGTGTCCCAGTAAGGAAGGGAAACCGTCCGGGCTTGGCTCGGCCCTCTGTCAGGTTTGGGGCCTGTGTGCTTCCCACACCCTCCCTCAAGCCGTTGGAATCGCTGAAGATGGCAGTGAAAGGCGGAGGGATGGTGGACTCTGTGTTCAAACCCCTTGGAGAGACGCTTAGGAGGACAGCTTGTCTCTCAGGCCCCTTGTGGACTTAGATCTCAAAACCCACAGGAGAAACAGGTCCAACTCGGCATGCAGTCGCAATAACATATCCTCTCCCGAGGTTAACATTCAAGCGTTTCTATTTTGAAATTCAGCAAGAGTTTCTGGGCCTCATGTTTGAGTGTACATTTTGCTGCGTTGTGAATATTCAGCACATTGCCAGCTCTTGGTCACTGAGTGATTGAGTTAGGGCTCCGCGAGAGACTTTGGGGAGTGAAGTGGACCTGTTCCGCATCTTCCGGTCCTCTGAAATGTGTGTTCTGAAGCCATGGGCTCATCTTCTGGGGTGTTCCCCTGCAGGTACTGGTGAAGGTAACCTGGGGCTTAACAATGGAGCCCCTGATGGTTTATTTTGCTCCACATAGGTTGCTGAGGGGTCAGAGCAAGCATCTGACTTGTGCAGTCCCCTGGATATGGTGAGGCCCACCATGCTTTTATTCTGTATCGCTTTTGTCTTTATTGTGGCTTTCAACATTTACATTTGGCTACCAATAACTATTTTCAGAGGGTGGTGATTGAAAACAATTTCATCATCCCACTGTACTTTTTTGTTTTTGAGACGGAGTTTCACTCTTATTGCCCAGACTGGAGTGCAATGGCGCAATCTTGGCTCACTGCAACCTCTGCCTCCTGGGTTCAAGCGATTCTCCTGCCTCTGCCTACAGAGTGGCTGGGATTACAGGTACCCACCAACACGCCCAGCTAATTTTTATATTTTTAGTAGAGACAGGGTTTCACCATGTTGGCCAGGCTGGTCTCAAACTCCTGACCTCAAGTGATCCACCCACCTCAGCCTCCCAAAGTGCTGGGATTACAGGTGTGAGCCCCTGTGCCTGGCCCTTTTTTTTTTTTTTTTAAGAGATGGTATCTTGCTGTATCATCCAGGCTGGTCTTGAACTCCTGAGTTCAAGCAGTCGTGCTTTAACCTACAGCTACAGGTACCCCAACTATACATTTTTAATGAGGATTCATGGCTCAGAGGGATTTTCTGGTGGTTTTGCTGATTTGTTTCTAGTTTTTTGTGTTTAATTTATATTTAACATGAAGACCAAGTTTATATAACTAGGTATCTGTATAACGCAACAACATTGGAACACAATAAAGATGTATTTTTGTAAATTGTTGACTACATGGTTTATTGGTTTGATGCCTAATATTTATTTATTTATTTGTGCTCAGGCACAGGAAATACTATGGTTAAAAAATACCAGTGAGTGGACCGGACACGATGGCTCACACCTGTAATCCCAGCACTTTGGGAGGCCGAGGCAGGCGGATCACAAGGTCAGGAAGTTTAGACCATTCTGGCTAATACGGTGAAACCCTGTCTCTACTAAAAATACAAAAAATTAGCTGGGCATGGTGGTGGGTGCCTGTTATCCCAGCTACTCAGGAAGCTGAGGCAGGAGAATCACTTGAACCCGGGAAGCAGAAGTTGCAGTGAGCCAAGATTGCACCACTGCACTCCAGCCTGGGCGACGGAGCAAGACTCCGTCTCAAAAAACAGAACAAAACAAAATACCAGTCAGTGGCCAATTCACATGTTTAAGCTGCTGTAATGATCATAGACAATCTTTTCCAAGTTAGTCGTTAGAGTTGGTGTTGGAGAGAAGCAAACACTCATTTATCCCAAGGACCTCTGTTGAGCATCCATGCCCATGCGCTTGGCATTTTGTTCAGCTTTAGGAAATGTCTCATCCCTTAATAATGATATTTAAAGACATGTCCATCTGAGAGGAAGATGGCTGGAATCACCCTGGGTGACCATGACAATCCCTAAGACTGCAGGGCTCCCTGTGGTTTAGTCATCTACCCGAGTGGGAGGGGACCCCCTGGCCTGTGTGGGTCAAGGGAAAACTAAGGGAGAGATGACCACCTACTGTCCTCCCCAACTTCGGGTACAGATTCCTCTTGTTTCTCACGTGCATGGCATTCCTGGGAACGCGGTTCTGTGCTCAGTCTTTGCCAGTTGTCTGCCGGTCTAGTGGCTGAATCCACTTGGCAAGTAGGAGCCCAGTGTAAGTTAGCTCTGCATTCATGTCAGGGGCGTGTATGACCTGGATTCTCCATGTCTAATACAGCTCGCTGGCGAGGGGGCGGGCAGGGCCCTATGCCGACTGGTATTTCTAGGCAGCTGTGGGCTTTTTCTCTCCCCACAAGCATGCAGTTCTTGAAGATTTTTCCTATTGGTCATGAGTGCAGAAGAGCAGGAGGCTGAGCGGAATCTATGCCAGCCCAAGACCAGGCCAGACTCTGCTGCCCTTGTGAAGAAATAGGGGTTCCTGATTTTGTAGCTTCTCACACCAAGTGGAAGAGACAAAACAAATTCCAGATCCTGAACCTTCCCCGTGTGTTTGAAGGCAGTCAAGGGTTTCCTGATTTTACATTCAAGATACTTAACACTCAGGGCTGGGCACTGTGGCTCACGCCTGTAATCCCAGCACTTTGGGAGGCTGAGGCAGGAGGATCACCTGAGGCCAGGAGTTTGATACCAGCCTGGCCAACATGCTGAAACCCCATCTCTACTAAAAATACAAAAAAATATTGGCCAGGCTGGTGGTGTACACCTGTAGTCCCAGCTACTCAGTAGGCTGAGGCAGGAGAATCACTTGAGCTCTTATATATTTTGGAAATTAACCCCTTATCTGATAATATACTTTGTATAACCTTTAAACCTTTTAAAAAATAAATTGTATTGTGTATATTTAAGGTACACAACATGATGTTATGAGTTACATACACACACATATATTAAAATGGTTATTATAGCGGGCACTGTGGCTCACATCTGTAATCCCAGCACTCTGGGAGGCCGAGGTGGGTGGCTCACCTGAGGTCAGGTGTTCGAGACCAGCCTGGCCAACATGGTGAAACCCCATCTCTACTAAAAGTACAAAAGTTAGCTGGGCGTGGTGGCCGTCACCTGTAATCCCAGCTGCTCGGGAGGCTGAGGCAGGAGAATCACTTAAACCAGGGAGGTGGAGGTTGCAGTGAGCTGAGATGGCACCACTGCACTCCTGTCTGGGCAGCAAAGAGAGACTCCGTCTCAAAAAATAAAAAATAAACACAAATGGCCAGGCACAGTGGCTCACACCTGTAATCCCAACACTCTGGGAGGCCGAGGTGGGTGGATCACCTGAGGCCAGGAGTTTGAGACCAGCCTGGCCAACATGGTGAAACCCCATCTCCACTAAACATACAAAAATTAGCTGGGCATGGTGGTGGGTGCCTGTAATCCCAGCTACTCTGGAGGCTGAGGCAGAAGAATCGCTTGAATCCGGGAGATGGAGGTTGCAGTGAGCCGAGATCATGCCACTGCACTCCAGCCTGGGTGACAGAGCAAGACTACATCTGAAAAAAATAAATAAAAAGTAAAAATAAAAAACTAGTAACTAAATGTTACAACACAAAGAAAGGATAAATGCTTAAGATGATGGATATCCCATTTACCCTTATGTGATTATTACAAATTCCATGTCTGTACCAAAATATCTCATGTACCCAATAAATACATATAACTTCTATATACCCACAAAGTTAAAAATAGAAACTGAAAGACAAAAAATAAATAAAAATCAAATAAAGCTTCTCATTTTGTTGTCTACCTTTGGTAGATTTCCAGCCATGAAGTGGCTGTTTTTGACCATTGCCCCCAGTTTTATTTTTGCTTATCCCTCTTTGGAGGGATTTGAGTCCTTCTTTATACTTCCATAACTACAAGTCCCTCCTCTCATTATCGTTTTAGATGAGGAAAGTGAAGTTCAAAGAGATGAATCAACTTGCCCTAGACCATGCAACTAGGAAGCCTGGGAGCCAGCACTAAACTCAAGCGCCCGTTTTCTTTGTTAAGAATTTTATTGGCCGGGCACGGTGGCTCACGCCTGTAATCCCAGCATTTTGGGAGGCCGTGGCGGGCGGATCACGAAGTCAGGAGATTGAGACCAGCCTGGCTAACACGATGAAACCCCGTCTCTACTAAAAATACAAAAAAATCAGCCAGGCGCGGTGGCGGGCATTTGTAGTCCCAGCTACTTGGGAGGCTGAGGCAGGAGAATTGCTTGAACCCGGGAGGTGAAGGTTACAGTGAGCCGAGATTGTGCCACTGCACTCCAGCCTGGGCAACAGAGTGAGACTTCATCAAAAAAAAAAAAAAAAAAAATTTTATTGACGTAATCACTGACATACATTTTACTTATTTAAACCATACAATTTGACACGTGTATACCCGTGAAACCACCACAGTCAAGTTGATAAACACACATCCATCAGTCCACTTCCTTGTGGCTTTGTTGGCCCCTCCAGGCTACACTACTCTGCTTTCCCTCTGTCTAGTTTGCGTTTTCTAGAATGTTATGTAAATGGAATAATACAGTATGTACTCTTTTTGTCTGGCTTTTCCCACTCAGTATTAATGAAATTCATCCACGTTGTAGCATATATGAGTACTTTTTTTTTTTGAGGGGGGGGACAGGGTCTTCCTGTGTCACCCAGGCTAGAGTGCAATAACGGCATGATCTTGGCTCACTGCAATCTTAGTCTCCAGAGCTCAAGCGATTCTCCCACCTCAGCCTTCTGAGCAGCTGGGATTACAGGCACATGCCCCCGCACCCAGCTAATTTTTGTATTTTTTGGTAGAGACAGTGTTTCACCATGTTGGCTAGGCTGGTTTCGAATTCCTGAACTCAAGCTATCCTCTCGCCTCAGTCTCCCAAAGTTCTGGGATTACAGGCGTGGGCCACTGTGCCAGGCCACTTCATTCTATTTTACTGCTAAATAGCATTCCCTTGTATAGATATACAAAAGCTTATTTACCTATTTACCTGTTGATGCGCGTTTGGGTTGTTCTAGGCACACAAGCCTGCCAGGAACACTGGTGAACATGTGCTTATGTTAATGGATCCCATCCTTTTTCCTAGGAGTGGGATAGCTGGATCATATGAAAGGTGCAAGTTGAATATTTTAATAAACTTTTAATTTAGAATAACTTGATTTACAGAAAAGTTTCGTAGAACAGAGAGTTCCATTTACCCCCACCCAGCTTCCTTTGTTAGCCTTTGACATTCCTTTCATGTATTTGTCAAAGCTAAGAAACTGACATTGGTACAATGCGATTAAGCTCCAGACTTTATTTGGCTCTCACCAGTTTTTCCGTGAATGCCTTCTTTCTGTTCCAGGATCCAGCCCAGAACAATACATTGCCCATTTCCCTATGCCCCCGGGGCCAGTGCCCTCGGCTGCCTTTGTCTCTTCCTCTGTTTATGCTTAAAGCAGGGCAGGCCTTCCAACAACGCCGGAGATCCCGTCGGGCTGGGAAAAAACCTTTAGGGGCCTAGCTCTGCGCTTGGGCATCCCCACTCTGCCACCGCCTCCAGTACGCTGGGTTCCAATGCTGCCTCCAGCCGTGCTGATTCCCTGATATCTGTGTTCCCAGGTCCTTCCTCAGCCTAGCCTAGTTGCTCGGGCGAAGACAGTGAAGGTGTAACCCCACATTTCCGGAGCAGCTCTGCTGTGCTCCAAGCGAGGAGAGCCGGGGTTGCTCAGGTTTATAGGGCGGAGGGCGGTCTCTGGCCTGGGCAGGTGACGGGTGCGCTAGGGCCCGTGGCCCGCAGGTGTGCAGGTGCTGCCTGGTGGCGCGGGCTTGGGGGCGCGGGCTTGGGGGCGCGGCTTGGCACGTGGTGGGAGGTGGGACCGGGGGGCAGGGCCGGGCGCCAGGCTGGAAGGAAAATGGAGGGCACGGCCTGGCCTTAGGGGGCCTGTGGCGTGGGGCGTGGCCTGGTGCGTGGAGGGAGGCGTGGTCACCCGTTGAGGGCTGGGGGTGGGCTAGTGGGAGGGGAGGGTTCAGCTTGGTGAATGGCAGTTGTGAGGGCATGGCGCGGCCTAGCGCGTGGCCCTCGGGGGCTGGGGGCGTGACTTTGCACGTGGCCGTTGGCGGGGTGTGACGGGGGCGTGGCATGGCATGTGGCTATGGGGGGCTGGGCGTGGCCTGGCACGTGGCCGTTGGCGGCGCGTGACGGGGGCGTGGCCTGGCGCGTGGCGGTCCGGGGCTGGGGGCGCGCAGACTCGGGTGCGGCGGCGTGCCCCTGGGGCCCCCGGTCAGCAGCGGCATGGGGCGGTTGCGGTGGCAGGTGGCGGCCGCGGCGGCTGTGGGCCTGGCTCTGGCCCTGGAGGCGCTGCCCGGGGTGCTGCGCTGGCTGCGGTCCAGGCGGCGGCGGCCGCGGCGCGAGGTCCTGTTCTTCCCGTCGCAGGTGACCTGTACCGAGGCTCTGCTGCGGGCTTCGGGCGCGGCGCTGGCCAGGCTCCCCGAGGGCTGCCCGTGCGGCCTCCCCCACGGCGAGAGCGCGCTGAGCCGCCTGCTGCGTGCCCTGTTGGCCGCCCGCGCCAGCCTGGAGCTTTGCCTGTTCGCCTTCTCCAGTCCGCAGCTGGGCCGCGCTGTGCAGTTGCTGCACCAGCGCGGGGTGCGAGTGCGGGTAGTCACCGACTGCGACTACATGGCCCTCAACGGCTCGCAAATCGGCCTGCTGCGCAAGGCAGGTAGGCCCGGCGGGGTCCAGGCGGAGAAGGCCGACTTGAGCCACGCGGGGTCCTAGGCAAAGGTGGACACTTAGGGGAGGGGGTTTGGGAACGGGCTAAGGCCTCATTTACTTTCCTCGTGGCGTTGTGGAGTAGGGGTGGTGTAACGCGGAGAAAGCAGAGCCCCCACGAAAGGTCTAGCAGGCTGCGCTGGCATAAGCGAGCCGGGCCCTCGGTGCCTCCGCGGTGGGGGCAGTTTTCTAAGTGACCTGTCCTGGCATGCTGGAAGCGGGTGGGCCTGCGTGTGCCGGTTTAGAGGCAGAGCAGGCTCCCCTAGCAACTCCCCGGGCGCCGCCAGCGGAAAACTTTTTCGGGACTGCTGCAGCCCGGGCCCACCCTCCTGCAGGCTGCCGGAGACCCCCGGACGGCCTGTGGTGACCTGGACCCTGCTGGCCGGGGACCTGGATGCCAGGGTTGTGCTTGGACTTCCAGACTGAAGGGCTCTAGGGAGAGGCGGCCACCTGCTGCCGAGTGAACCTCAGGCCACCGGGCTCTGGGAGACCTAAACGTATGTTCCAGAAAGCAGCGCCAGGACGTTCGTTTTCCCAGCTGCAAAAGGAGTGGAACACATATCTCTCTGGCGGGGGCACCTCTCTCATGGGGTGGGGACAGAAGGGACCAGGAAGTGTGAATATTTGGGATCCTTGTCCCGCCTGAGGATTCTCAGTCCATCCTGGCCCAGTTCCGCGGCCCAGCCGGCTCTTGCCTTTTGTGCACCCACAGACTCTTGGGCCTCTCTCTGTCTCCATCACTCAGGCACCCAGAGAGTCGCGCCTGCATGTGCTCCCGCTGGAGCTGATCATTCTGGTGGTCGTAGTGACTGAGAGACACGTGGAGCCTGGCAACTGTCCAAGCTGGGCAGTGGTCACTGCCGCCCGTTCCTTCTGCACAGCCATGGCCTCTCGTTGACTTGGGCCGCAGAGCAGCCTCTCCAGAGTCAGCCAGGGTCCCTCCCTGCCCTGGGTGGTGTGGGGCATGTTGCACCCCACGTGGAAGCAGAGTGGGGCACGTGGTTTTCGTATTGAGGATGTCTCCTCCTCTTTGGGGCAGCCTCAAGAGCTGTCGTCCAATGTGTTGGTGATTTTAACGGGAGGTTTGGGGACCTCCAGGCGTGCACAGTACAGTTCTGTTTGAGTTGCTTTTCGAGTGGTAGAAGCTGAGATTGGTGAAGACCCTTCAAGGGCCCCTAGACCAAGGTCCCATCGGATTCCCTCTGGGATGGCCTCCCAGCATCCTCGCTGACTTCGAGGCTGTCCGGTGGCATTCATCTGTTCAAGGAATGTCCCCTGCGTGCCAGTATTTGTGAGGAGTTGGAACATCCTAGGGCACAAGGCCAGGTTCCCATGGAGATGCCAACTAAGTCACGAATATTTCATTTAGGGCACTAAGAAGGGCCAAGAAAATTTCGTAAAGCAGGGTAAGGAGGCAGTGGTGTGGGTGGAAGTGGCGTGGGCCAGGTCAGCTGCCCAGGGGCAGTGACACTCAGGGCAGGGGCCTTGCGGACACGCGTGGGCTGTCCGGAGGGAGAGGCATGCAGCTGGAAGGGGTAGCAGCACAGACGCCCTGGGTCACATACTGACTTCCTTGTGAGGAACGGCAGGGAGTCCTCTGTGGCCAGAGGTGGTGGGCTGTGGGGAGGGGACGGGGAGGTGGGCAGTGGATCCCAGCGGAGGCAGGAGGTGTCGGCAATGGTGGGGTTTTAGATTGCCCACCATGTGGAGGAATGTGTTTGGAGGGCCCTGCCGACAGGACGTGCCGGCGGAGTGGCCAAAGTGTAAGAAGGGTTGGATCCCCGAGGTAAGGAAGCCACCGCGTCCCCATCCTGCCAGGCCCAATTCAGGAGGCACAATTAAATGTGAGTTCCATGCACAGGGAGTGATTTTTAAGTTATGTTCCCAGTACTCCGTGGGACACGCTTCCCTTCAAAGATGACTCTCTGTCTGAAGTTCCATTGAACTTGGATGTCCTGTATTTTGATTTGGAAAATCTGGCAGCTGTGTTCCATGGCAGCCTGTTTAAAACTTCTTCTAACCCCCATTTCTGACGGCCTCATTCCTTGAGCAGGTCATGAGTGAGGCAGGTCGTGAGTGATTCCAGGGGAGACAGACACAGGCCCTTCCCAGGAGGAGTTTGAAAGCTGGGAAGAGCAGAGGCGGGGATGCCTGGTTCTTTGGTGAAGGAAACGGGGGTGCAGAAGAGGAGAATTCATTTGTGCGTTGTTAGGGAGGGCCCTTCCTGCCTTGGTGGCCGAGGTTGTGCCAGCAAATGGTGCTCTGCTGCCAGACACCGGGGCCTCTCTGAGCAGAGTGGGCACGGCTCTCAGCCTTAGCTGTGGAGGAGTCAGAACCTGAAGGCTCACACTCTGTCTTTGCCCTGGTCACCTCTGACCGGGTTAGTGACAGCTTCGACCGCAAGCAGTATACTGGCTGCCATAGACTCGGAGGTGTGGTCTCACCCAGACCACGGCCCGCCCAGTCCCCCACGGCCTGTGTGTGATGCTCTGGCCCCATGTGTGATGTCCCCCTCTGTGGTTCTCAAGTGTCCCTCCTGGGAGCTTAGCCGCCACCACTCTGTGAAAGCGTGGCGGGCTTTCCTGGCCCACCAAACTGGAAGCGTAAAGCCAGTAGCCCCCAGGAACAGTCCACACTGGAGGCGGGACTCCTGCATGGAATGAAATCACCACCTTGTCCTTTCTGCAGGGATCCAGGTCCGGCACGATCAGGACCTGGGCTACATGCATCACAAGTTTGCCATCGTGGACAAGCGGGTGCTCATCACTGGCTCGCTCAACTGGACCACGCAAGCCATCCAGAACAACAGGGAGAACGTTCTCATCATGGAGGACGACGAGTACGTGCGGCTTTTTCTGGAAGAATTTGAGCGCATCTGGGAAGAGTTTAACCCTACAAAGTACACCTTTTTCCCGCAAAAAAAGAAAAGCCACTGAAGCTGTGCCCCGCCTGTCTCCAGAGCTGGAGGGAAATCACTTTCATGGCACAGAACTTGCCGCACCTCCAGGCAAAACCAAACCTAACCAAGAATGGGGCTGAGCCCTCCCTGCGGGCTGCTGTGCCTTCTGAGGGAGGGAGGCCTCACGTTACACCAAATTCTCATCTCTTAGAATACTAAGTTGAACGAAAGAAGGTTAGGAAGGGGAAATTTCTGTTATTTCAGGTCAGTTATTTTGGGCCAGACCTTTTCTTTGGCCCTTTGCCAAAATAACTTCAGTCATGACCTGCCATGGGTGCTTTCAGGAGTGTGGTCCGTATCTCGGTTTGGAATCGAAGCTTCTGCCACAGCACAGAAAAGGCACAGTGCCTTTTCCGGGTCGGTCCCATTCCCTTCCCTGATTCTAGAAAAGCCCCTTCTGCTTTGGCTGACGTGGCCCCTTTCGGCATCTCCCTGAGAGTTCTTCCCTCTCTCCGTGTGGCACGACTGGGGTTGGTTGGGGCCAACAGTCTCCTTGTCCCTCACAGTCTGTCCCTGTCAGGGCTCGATCCTCAGAGCGGGGAGAGGAAATGGAAGTCAGGAGGAAGGGAAGATGTGAGTGTGCGGTGTGGGTGGCAGAAGCAGCCTTTGGGCAACCCCGTGAGCGCCATTGCCACCAAAGGCTGGCTGTTCCCTTGCTTCCTTGTATAATTCCTCTTTAAAACCAGTGTGCCCGCCAGTGCCAAGCTCTGAAGCAGCCTGTCCGTGGGTAGTAAGTGCCGTGGTCTGTCAGGACTGATGGCCAGCAGCTGTTTCTTTTCTGTGAGAGGGAGTCTTACTCTGTGGTCCAGGCTGGAGTGCAGTGGCGCAACCTCGGCTCACTGCAACCTCTGCCTCCTGGGTTCAAGCGATTCTCCTGCCTCAGCCTCCCGAGTAGCTGGTATTACAGGCGCCCGCGACAACATGTGGCTAATTTTTTTTTTTTTTTTGGTATTTTTAGTAGAGACAGGATTTCACCATGTTGATCAGGCTGGTCTCGAACTCCTGACCTCAAGTGATCCACTCACCTCAGCCTCCCAAAGTGCTGGGATTACAGGTGTGAGCCACCACGCCTGGCTGGGGTTTTAACTTTTAACGTCCTAATGTTTAAGGTAATTGTGTTGTGTGTTTAGAAGTGACCTCACCTTTAACACCTGTGGAGTTAGTGCATGCACATTGCTGGCTCAGCGTAACCCATCACGGGACTGGAGGAGAGGAGAGGAGGGAAGAGGAGAGCAGCTTCAGGCTGTGGTGTCTCCCACATCTGTGTTCTTATTTTCAGCTCAGGGTTTGCATTCCCAGGTAGAACAGGTGTCATATGTTGTGAAATGTTCCAGGTTATTTGTTTATAATGTGTGTGTCATATATAGATAGCTCCAATGACATCTGAAGTTGTGACTTCACTACCTTGTCATATTTCTGTATGATGAGCCCCAGGGCCCGTCCTGCGGTCTGCTGGCCATGTGCTTGGTCTCACCTCCCCAGCCCATGCTGACGTTACCACCCAGAGACCCTTCAGTGCTGTGTGTTTTTGCTTTTTAGGGTTACTTTTGACTCACAGTGTTAGGCAGGCCAGCTTGGAAGTTAAGTTTTAAAAAAATTCAATTGAAGCTGTAAAGCAAAATGTACAGATGGGAAGTCACCAGAAATTTGTTTTAGTTTGTGAATTTCCACAGTGTATGTTCTGGAAAGAAAATGGGAGAGTGTGTAAAGCATCTCCTGCAGGCGAAGCTGCGTGACCCTGGACTTCTGGCTCATCTGAATAAATGTGTTCTTATTCTGGGATGTGAGCACTGTGTGTCTTTGCCTTAGCTTGCTGCTAAATCATTCAAATAGGGGCTGCTCCTTGTTAAATACAACTTTTTTGGGGGGCAGTATACAGCTATTTAGAAACTGTTGGTCAAAGAACAGGTGACTCAAAGTAAAACTTTAAGCTGTTACTTGGGTGAAGGAAATAAGGTATACAGTGGTTCATTTTTAAGACAAAGTGCCTTGAATTGGCTTAGGTCAGCAAACTACGGAAGAAACAGGATGTGCTAGGCCCTTCAGGCTAGCCGATGCCTTCTTGTCGGCTCCCCCTTCTGCCCCGTCCCCACTTTCTTAGTTGCCCTCACCCGAACCAAAAAAGTTGAGTCTAAAAGGAAAGTTTACTGGCCTGCAAAATAGCTTACTTTGTCTGTTCCTACCAGCCAGCCTAGCTACTTAGGTCATAAGTCAAATACTTGAAGAGCTCCTAAGCGGACTAAGATTGCAATGCACTGCAGGCTGTAACAAAATGCAGCAAGACAGTCCTAAAGAAAACGCCTAAAGCCCTGGGCTAACAACCAGTAAGCACCGTCTGGGAAGATTGCGACCCCATGGTACTCAGCCTGTAAGGAAGGAGGAGCCTGCACACTAGGGGATACACTGCTTGTTGAAACTGTGCCGGGTGTGCCTGCTCATTAGACACGCGATCTTATTAAAAGCCTCTTTCACTGTTGTCCGGGTCTCTGAGTCCATTCTTTGGGCTTGGACGGGTGAGTTTGCTCCTCACATTGGGTGCCTCCTAGATTTCAAATATTTTCCAAATGTCCAGACTTTGGGGTGGTCTCTCTAGACCAAAAGTTGGAGCGAAGCTCAGTCCCCGCTGTTGTCCTGACTTGTGTGGCATGCACCCTGCCACCTGGGGACCTGCCCCACTCCCAGCACAGGTGGAAGGCATTCCAGTGCCATCCGTGGTTGGATGCATACAAAGTAACCTGGCCAAGCTGCCTACAGGAATATTTTAAGAAATGTGAAATTATTTTATTTCGTATATGTAATACTTTCTTATTTTTATCTTAGCAGCAGAGGGACATTGAATCTCACAAAAAGTTTCAGATGCCAGTTAGCCTTTCTTTTTTCCTGAGACTGGGTCTCACTCTGTTGCCTAGGCTGGAGTGCAGATGCACGATCATGGCTCACTGCAGCCTCAACCTCCCGGGGTCAAGGGATTCTCCTGCTTCAGCCTCCTAAGCAGCTGAGACTACAGGTGCAAGCCACCACACCTGACTAATTTTAAAATTTTTTTGTAGAGACAGGGGTCTCATGCCCAGTCTGGTCTTGAATACCTGGGCTCAAGTGATCTTCCGGCCTCAGCCTCCCAAAGTATCGGGATTACAGGCCAGTCACTGCACCCAGCCCAGTGGGCCTTTCTGAAAAGAACTGAAGTGAGATGTCCCTTGAGGGAATGGGGTCTGAGGACATGCAGTGCTAAAATCTCCCTCAAAAGTGGAGGCTGTTTTCTGCCCTGCTGCCCCAGCCATGGGTATAGAAGATCCTTGGGCCACACACAAAGATTGCTGTGCCAGTAACAGGCAGGCATGCCCAGGAGACCCTAGAACTGCAGGCCGGCCTGTGCTCCAATACCTGAGGCGAGTGATGCTAGAAGGCAGGGGTTCGCTGAAGGTGAGGGCTGGGCAGGGGGTTGTGTAATGTCTGTGTGTCACCTGAAGCCTCTTTTTGCCTGTAAGATTATCTTGGCTCCTCCCAGAGGGAAACTTCAAAAGAAGTAATACGTTCCCGAAGTAGGCTCAACAGTCACAAAAGAGGCTCTAGGAAGATTCCCCTCTAACTGCCTTATTCTCCTGGGACGGCCTCTCATGAGTTAGCCTCCCCAGTAGCTGGGATTACAGATGTGTACTGCCACGCCCCACTAATTTTTGTATTTTTAGTAGAGACGGGGTTTCACCATGTTGGTCAGGCTGGTCTTGGACTCCTGACCTCAAGTGCTCCACCTGCCTCGGCCTCCCAAAGTGCTGGGATTACAGGCATGAGCCACCATGCCTGGCCTCTTAAATTGATCTATTGGTAGAATCAACTTTTTTTCCATGTTATCTGGATAAAAGTTTAGATTCCCACAAATTTCACCCATTTCATTCTAAAGGTTGTGAATACATTGTTTAAAAAACCCAGTTTTTCTTGTTTGAGACAGGGTCTTGCTCTGTTGCCCAGGTTGGAGTGCAGTGGCATGATCTAGGCTCACAGCAACCTCCACCTCCCGGGTTCAAGTAATTCTCATGCCTCAGCCTCCTGAGTAGCTGGGATTATAGGCAGGTACACGCCACCATGCCTGGCTAATTTTTGTATTTGCAGTAGAGACAGGGTTTCACCATGTTGGCCAGGCTGGTCTTGAACTCCCGACAAGTGATCCACCTGCCTCAGCCTCCCACAGTGCTGGGATTACAGGCATGAGCCACTGCACCCAACCTAAAAATCCCAGTTTGTTATTTTAAATTTATTTAGCAGATCACAATCAGAATTTTAAAAAGTGAACAAAATAATCAAAGTGTATATAGTAAGGGTGCTCTATTTTGTTAAATTTCAGGTTGTTGGTGTGTGTGTATATTGGGTCATGATGTAAAATGCATTTTCTTTTTTAAGCAAAAGGTAAAATTTTATTGTAAATAAATCTATTAATAAGAGGGACAGGGATGGGGAATTACAGGACCTTGATTAATAAAAGCATCACCACCATCAGCACGTCTCATCGTCCCTTTAGCCCCTGAAGGCTTCTTTAACTGAGGCAGTATACCTTAATTAGATTCTGGATGTAAAGTATTTCTTACAATGGCTTGTGTGTGAACAGGTAAAATCCAAATTTTTATGTGAAATACCATAATTCTAAAATGCTGAAAACTGGCCAGGTGTGGTGGCTCACACCTGTAATCACAGCACTTTGGGAGGCCAAGGCAGGTGATTACCCGAGGTCAGGAGTTCAAGACCAGTGTGGGCAACATGGTGAAACCCCATCTCTACTAAAAACACACACACACACACACACTAGCCAGGTGTGGTGGCACATGCCTGTAATCCCAGCTACTTAGGAAGCTGAGGCACAAGAATCGCTTGAACTGGGGAGATGGAGGTTGCAGTGAGCTGAGATAGTGCTACTGCACTCCAGCCTGGGCAACAGAGCAAGACTCTGTCTCAAAAAACAAAACAAAAAAACCCCCAAAGATCCACTGTAATTCAAAAGGAGGTAATGAGGCCCCGGCACTGTGTTCATGCCTGTAATCTCAGCAATTTGGGAGGCCAAGGTGGGAGGATTGCTTGAGCCCAGGAGTTCGACATCAGCCTTGCCCACACGAGGAAATCCCATCTCTACAAAAAACGCAAAATTAATTGGGTGTGGTGGTGCATGCCTGTAGTCCCAGCTAGTTGGGAGGCTGAGGTGGGAGAATCACTTCAGCCAAGGAGGCAGAGGCTGCAGTGAACCAAGATTGTGCCATTGCACTCTAACCTGGCTGACAGTGAGACCTGCTCAAAACAACAACAACAAACGCCGGGGGTGGTGGCTCACGCCTGTAATCCCAGCACTGTGGGAGGCCGAGGTGGGCGGATCATGATGGAGACCATCCTGGCTAACACAGTGAAACCCCGTCTCTACTAACAATACAAAAAATTAGCTGGGCGTGGTGGTGGGCCCCTGTAGTCCCAGCTACTCGGGAGGCTGAGGCAGGAGAATCGCTTGAACCCCGGAGGCGGAGGTTGCAGTGAGCCAAGATCGCGCCAGTGCACTCCAGCCTGGGCGACAGAGCGAGAGACTCTGTCTCAAAAAAAAAAAAAGGAAGTAATGAAACTGAAATCAACCCACTCTAGAACTGGAGGCTACTGCTCAGTTTGACTTTTGACCTGCATGCTTATTTGCAGATGTCTCTCAACTAAACAAAATCCCATTACACAGCATGCAAAGGGTGATGCAAAAATAGTTTATTATGATATAGTTTATGTAAAGTTAGGTAATATTTACAAAATAAAAATGATCAGCTACATCCAGGGAATCTAGCATGTCACACAAAGGAATAAATATTCTGACAAAGTAACACTTCAATTGTAGTGAATAGTTGATCACAAACTTTGTAAAAAAAAAAAAAAAGCCTCAAAAGTCCCCCCCCAAAAAAGAGAGCAGCAGCTCAGCAATCAGGCTTTCTTGAGACACTGGCCTGACAGTGGATGGCTCACCCAACTCCAGGCCTCTACTTCTCAGAGCCGAGCGCTGCACTGGAACCTGGGGAGGCGGTACTCATTCAGCCCTTTCTTCTGCACATGGCTTTTAGTCTGTTAGGCGTTACCATTTAGCATCAGGACAGAAATAAAATGCCAGTTGGAATTACACGAGCTGCTTCTTTTTATCATGTGACAGAACGTTTATCAGAACTGCTGGAATCACAAGCTGCGGCAGAGGTGACTGAAGCATTTCCACTCCGTTCACATACAGTGCCCCAGCTTGGCACAGTATGTTTTGTCTTTGATAATAAATTGAGACATTGACCCTGACAGAAGGGCACAGTTTTGTGAGAAAAATCATTAAGAATTGTAATTACTGAGGAGCCACTTGGATGCTTTCTACCTTTTATAAATATCACCCTAGGAAAACCACATGAAGTAATACTTACACTTAACTGGTTTTGAATCCTAACAGTATGTCAGTAGATAAGTGGTTAATACTAAAAGTAAATCCTAAAATCCTTTAAAATCCATTTTAATTGAAGCTTGTGATATAAACATAACACAGTAGTGAACTGAGTGTTCTTCACAATCTATTCCTAGCTGTCTATAAAACTAAGTATGTGACACCACTAACTTCTCAAGGTGGGTGGGGGGCGGGGAGTGACGGACGTGACTGTGAAGCTGCAAGCGCTGTGTGTGTGTGGCTGCGCCTCTGAAACACCCTTTCCTCAGGTGACCAAGCTGTGCCTGGGGAAGGCCCCCACTGAGGCCGTGCCCGAGGAACATGCCGTGTCCACCCCTTGGGACTTGGGCATCCTCCCAGGCCATCCTACAGTACTGGAGTCTCCAATTCTTAAGTATTCTGTGACTCAGTGTTTCCTTACCAATCTGACAAAAATACGTGTTGTAAAAAACAGCTGCATCGAAGTTCTGCAGCCTCCATGGAATTCTAGGATATGACCAAAGGGCTGGGGAATCCAAACAGCTCTGGTGCTCCACACAGAGCCCTGCCCAGTGAGTGGTCTTGAAGGTTCTCAGAAACTTCACATTTAGGCCCCGATCCCAGAACTGTGCCTTGAACCAAGTCTCCCTATGATAGCCTTAAATTACTGTGCAGAAGTCTGGTCAAGATGGCGCCATCATTTTCTTCATTTTCCTGATTTTCCTTGAGGACACTGGCTCTACCAAGAACAGGCAATATAGAATTATTTCAATGAAACAATGTATGGATACAGGGCTATCGTTATTTTAGGTATTATATACTTTAAAACCATCTGTTAGATGACCAAACGTTTACAAAGATGCAGCAGTCATTAAAAACATTTCCTTATAATGCTGGGTGGGGTTCAACGGTGCAGTCAACCCTGTTCTCCCCATCTTAAAAAGGGGTGTCTAAGATTTTTTTAAAAACCCATACAAACTTTGTCACAAAAATCCCTGCAGTAACTTCTCAGTAATATTTACATTGCTTGCTCTGAATAATATACAGGTTATTTTGAAGAAAATAAACACAGTGCTTTTAAATACAGAGAAATTGCAAGCTACACCAAGCATGCAGTAGCTTCAGTATTCACAAAGTATTGCATCCAAACACCTAAGGACTCGGACCCAAGACGTGTTCAGACGGAAACTTGTCCCATCTCTAGGGACGTCTAGTGTTGAGCTACTGACTCCCCTACCCTGCCAAGTGTCTTTTCTTTTGTTGAAGGATTTCAGAGAAGGGAGATGTCTTCTCTTTACAGAGAAGCAAGAATACTTGAAGCTCACAGTTCTGAAAAGAGCAAGAGAATGAACGGGTCAACATTTGAGAGAACTGGTAATGTTCCTTTCCATACTGGGTTTATGCCAGGCTTTCCTTTTAAAGAGCCTACAGCACCGTGTTACTAGCCTTCAGCTCAGGGTGGTTCTTACTGCCATCGGTTGTGGACACACGCCCTTGCTGAAAACTGTTCGGCCCAAGTGTGTAAACACAAGAACTGTACAAGGGTACAACGAACAGCCCCCTCTAAGGGGTGGCTGCAGAACAACCTGCCATAGCTGCCATGCAAGGAAGAACGCCCATCTCAGAACGCTCTGTTGCTTGGCATTGAGAACAGTGGCGGCCTTCACCTTTCGACGTGAAGATGACCTTTTATGGGATGAGAAATCTACTGAGTTTACATCTTTAAAGCGGGTGGTGGCATGGAGAGGCCCGGGGAGGGAAGGAGTGTGCTTGTACATGGCCAACCTCCAAGTCTGAAGTGCGTGGAAAACCCACGTTCAGCTGCTGAGTACCCACTGAAGACGCTTGCGCTGAGTGGGCTAGGAACCTCTCTTCAGAAGAATGCTGGAGGGCAGGAAAGCCCAGGCAGGTGAAAGGTGGGAAAACAGTGTGTAGATGCCTTAATTCTAAGGAACTTTTTAATAAGCAAGTTACCAGCAGCTTTCTTCCCAAATCCTTTCAGAAATGGGGCTGTTTTGCCCGCACCGAGAACCTTCGCTCATTTCAGCTGAAAGGAGAAAACAGAGGGCTGATGCCAGCTTGCAGGAAAGGGGAAACGAAACGTCTCTGGCCTGTGTCACCTCTTAGTGCTCCAACATGGACCTTCCGGCAAGTTACAACCTGTTTAGAACGCAAATTCCTTGTACCTCAGACCTGTGACTCGCCTAGCCAGGATTTTCATCTCACACCCTAAAATGAATGACGCTCCCAGGAAAGTGAAGCTTTCTCATCAACATGACAAATTTTCTTTAAAATTTCAACATCAAATTCCTTCGAAGTATAATATCATACGTTTCCATTCTTTATAAAACTTTGACAATACTTAATTTCTTTCTCCCTTAGTGACAATGGGGTCACAGGTTTTTTAAAAAAAACTCTATCTTATACGCCAGGCACAGTGGCTCACACCTGCAATCCCAGCAGCACTTTGGGAGGCTGAGGCGGGCAGATCACGAGGTCAGGAGATCGAGCCCATCCTGGCCAACATGGTGAAACCCCATCTCTATTAAAAATACAAAAAAAAATTAGCCAGTTGTGGTGGCAGGCGCCTGTAGTCCCAGCTACTCGGGAGGCTGAGGCAGGAGAATGGCGTGAACCCAGGAGGCAGAGGTTGCAGTGAGCCGAGACTGTGCCACCACACTCCAGCCTGGGCAACAGAGCAAGACTCTGTCTCAAAACAAAAAACAAACCAACAAAAAAAAGCAAAAAACAAACAACAACAACTCCCCCAAAAACACTGTATTTTATAAAGGAAGGTCTTATAAATTCCAAGCTTCTTTAGGACCATGTTGAGCAAACTCTTTTTTTTCAGGAACAGTAAATGTTGACGTGTCGCATTCTTTTCTAAGTGCGACTGTCTTAGAACTTAGGCAAGTCCGTGAATGAGTAGCTGGGAGAAAGGGGTATGTGGCCAGCCATTAAACTCACCCAACATACAAAGGAGCAGGGGACAGCAGAGCTTCCCCTACACCCCAAATTAGGCTGTAGGTCATGTTCAAAGCCAAGTAGGCCGAACAGGATTACTTGTTTGTGTGGGGACCTGGCTGCCAACAGGGACCCCACACAGAGTGGCCTTGGCCTCCAGGGCCCTGCAAACACCTAGCGGGCTCTGGTGTGTTCCAGCTCTGTGGCACCCGGCAACCTCCCAGGAGACGGCCAGGCAGGAGTGATGATCAGGATTGTGTTTAATTCTCAGCATGTTTCCAAGTACCCAAAAGTTAAGAGTCCCATCTACCTCTGTAGTAAAACAAATGGTAGTAAACACATTCGATAAAAATGTTTTTCAAGCCATCAGTTTTGTTTCCGGCCTTATCTGTCAGTATTCCTTTCAGGCACATTCTCAGATTCACAACTGTGTTCTTTAAACAGCCAAAATTCCCTCTTCTCCCTGTATGGCTGCATGAGCTGGAGGGTCAGAGAGTGACAGGAGCTGGTGGCTGCTGCAGAAACAGGTTCTTGCTGGGCCTTCCACATCACTAAGCAGGCTGTGGGGCCTTGGTCTCCATGCTCTTCTGCCTTCATACTTGCTGAATCTGAAGGCAAGATCCTCTCTGATGTTACCTCTTGTTCAATAAACCCACAAGTTCGCGATGCTGCTATCTCTAGTCACCCTGGGATGTTCACCGCATCACCCACTTAGCACAGGCCCATTATGACTCCCTGAAGCACAGGCCTCCAGCTCACAGGGCAGCGCATTGTCCGCCTCCACCCCTGCCCCATGATCCACTCGGACCTGGGAGGCTGTGGACAGTGCATCCTCTGAAACGCTGGTCTCCACACCTGCTTGGGGCTGAGGCACCATGTGTGGATAAAGAAACTGACCAGCAGAAAGTGACTATTCTGCACGTGCAGGTGTGCACGCAAGGTAACTACGCACATGCCCGCAAAAACTCACACAAGCCTCACTTTCCCACTCATATGTGGGGCACAGCTTACCGGCTGGTGCTAGCATACTACACATAAATACATTTATAGGAAAATAATTAAAATGCTGAAGTCTTATCTATTTGAACATCTTCCTCATCGATAAAGCTGGGAAAGCTCACTATTGTGTGGGTGGTGCCAAGGAGCAGCCTGAGACCCCGCCCGCAGCTGCCCCTAAGACTTTCCTCTCCCCACACAGAAACCAGTTCTACTTCTTCACTGTTCTTCTTTCTTCTCCCTGGAATTCAGGGGCTAAAACCTTTCCAGGGTATTTGGATGCCTGCAGGAAGGAAACTGGAGAGAGGGCCCAGCCCTGTGCAGCACAATGCTCCCTGCTCAGTGTGGCACCAGTTGGGCAGCCATCAACATCTGTGCCAGTGTTGCCATCTGGGCAAGTCTCTGTTCCTGGGGCATGTCTAGGTGGAACACGAAGAACATCGTCATCCTTTCTCGCCTGGTTCACTCCATCGCAAGATGGAGCCCACCAGCACGGAACCCAGACTTCCTTGACCCACATGGTGGCTGCCCTTTGTGAGGGCTCTTCAGAAACGCCAGGGCAGGCCCAGGGCATTTTCAGGAGCTCTTAGCAAAGCAGCCTCAGTCCGTTTCCTGGCAATACCCTACACTAAATCAGCCCCGGGGGAGAGGCCTGTGGCAGGGAGGAATACAGATGCCCAGCTGGCCTGTCACTGACCCCTTACATGCTGCACTCATATTCATTTTCTAGGATTCCTGAAGTCCAGCCTCAAGGGATACGTGATGGAAAAAAGTGAATCAAATGCTCTTTTGACCTATGGGCAAACTTGCTTTAATTTAAAGCACTGTGAGGGCTGAAGGCAGAGAGATCCTGTCTCCAAGCATGGACTCTGCCCAGAACCCCCTGGAGGGCAGAAGGCAGGAAGCTGTCTGCAGAAGGGCCAGTGGGTCTGTCCCCAGGGGCAGCAGGGATGATCACGAAGGAAACCACGCCAGGCAAGGCAGGTGGTGGACCTCAGAGAATGGCACGAAATCGTAGCACCCAGGTAACAGGCAAAAACTCCTGTCTGGTCAGATCCTGATGCACACCAGGTCCCTGTCTGTCCTGGAGCATTCGTGTGTCCCAGCAGTGTGCTGGAGACAACAATGGGGCTGTGGGGGACAGTGGGGTCCCGAACGTTCCTTCTGTATATTCCCATTGACACAGAAAGGTCATAGTGCATTTCTCAAAGCACTGCTAATCTAAATGGTCAGGGGGGTCTGATAAGTGTATCTGTATTTGATATGGGGCCTTGCTCTGTTGCCCAGGCTGGAGTGCAGTGACATGATCATGGCTAACTGCAGCTTCAACCTTCTGGACTGAAGCGATCCTCCTACCTCAGCCTCCTGAGTAGCTGGGACTACAGCTGCACAACTGTGCCACCTCAGAGAAGTAGATTTTAAAACAAACCCAATTTTCTCTTGCTGTTAACAACACTGAAGACTAGTAGCAGAGGAGTGAAAGTGTGGGTTAAGAGCCTTAAAAACTTGTGGAAAGGGCTCGATGCCAGTGGAGAGCACTTAGCTATTCCAGTGAGAAGAGAGCACCTAAACCTGGGTCTTAAAACACATGAAAACTCCAGGCCTTTCTCCCAGCCTTTCTGCACAATGGGGGCGGGGCCAGAGCTCCACAGATGGCCATGCTCATGACTTCATCTAGAAACTGAGCAACAGGATTTCTAGATTTCTACTCCCAAAGCATCCACGCACCCACAGAGACCATCACATCAACTCAAGCATGAATACAAAGTGAAAGCATGTTCTTGGCATGAAAATCATCTGCTCACACCCCACCTTGCTCCTAAAGTAGCAGAACCTATTCCACCAGCCAGGGTTTATACTCCTTATCTTAATGGAATTAATGCTTTTCATGGGGCCATAATAAAGACTCCAATTTAGGAGATTTTCAAGAATTGTTGTAGAATGTTTTGTGGTAGTTAAAAAGGTCTTCCTCAAACTGTCAGAAAAAGCAAAACTGGTAGTATAGGTTTACTTTAAACAGGCTCTTTTAAAAGTAAATGTTGCAAGATAGGTTTCCAGAGCACAGATTAAATGAGAGTTAAGATCAGAGTCTGAATACACACTAATGTGCTGTTCTCATCAGATTCTGACATCCTCTGTACTTTCTTCTTGACTTAACAGGGGTCTCCTCTCAACCTTTTCCAAAGCAATGTGACGGTTTCTTCTCCAAAAGGTTAAAAAAACCCAAACCCCCCAAACCTTCCCCCGCTTTGAATGATTCCTGGAGGGAATTCACTTTTTGCAATCAGAGTCTGAAACCTGGGCTGCAGGTTAACAATCTTGAGTAGTTATGAAAAGACCAGGGTTACTGGAGACCAAGAAAGGAACGAGCAGAGGAAGGAAGGAAGGAAGGAGAGGGGCCGGGGGTTTTGTGCAAGATTTAATAAAAAACAAACAAAAATAGGAATGGTTGCTTTCAACATTTTCCAGGTTGTGAAAGGTTTGCCACGATTCTCAGGGGTGTGGTTCTAAGCTGCATCAGTGGAACAGATACAAAATGCTGTCTTCCTCCCAGGCCGGAAGGCAGCGCACCTTCTCCTCTTCACAGCCATACTAGCGGGTGAGGAGTCAGTGCTGTGACCCAGGCCAAAAGCTGGAGTGTCCGCATGGCTTTTTCTCTGACCAGTGGGGATTCCATCTACCTTGAGGCGTGCTGGCTGGGCCCTGTTTCCACACCAGCGCGTGGTGAGACAGGGTAGCTTATCAACAGGCTGCTGGGCCTTAATACTGACAGTGAGTGCAGCGGGTCACAGCCAGGAAGGGACTAACACAGATGCCCTCCCAGCCCCCACTGCTGGCCTAATTTTAGAATACCACGGAAAAGAGCTTTGATGAAGACAATAGGAAGTCAACACAGCAGAGTGGTGTGGACAACCCAGAAGCCAGCCTCACACATTCCATGCCCACAGTTAACGATGACAACAACAGCAATAATAATAATAAAACAAAGGTACAGGTGAAAAGCAGCGCTCGGGGTGTGCTGCTGCAAGCTGGGGAAGGCGCGTGCTCAACTTGGATGGGACACAGCTAGTCTTTCTTCAAGTCCCTGGATTCAAAGAGCTTCAACCGTTCTTGCACCGTCAGGCCTTCCTTCAGACTCTGGGTAGAGACAAAGCAGGAGGAGAAAATAAACACACCGTTAGACCCCCTGCACTGGACCGGACCGGACCGGACCAGACCAGACCGCTGGTGGAGCCGGCATCAGTCAGAGAGCCGGGTGCAGGTGCGGTTAGTGGGCATGCCAGGAGGAGAGGCCCCGGGAAATGCTGTTATTGGTGGAGGATGTTTTCCCCTTCAGAAAATTACTTGGATGAAAAAGGAAAAAAAAATCAGAGAGACAAGACCATGTGTTTAAGCAGCTAAATTCTGAGCTGAGGGCTCTTTAGACAAGCAGTGATCAGACGAATCCAGCCAGGGAAAACAGTGCAATGAGCGAGGAGACTGCCCATCCCCGTGTCTTGTCTTGTGTGTGGATTTGTCCGCATCCAGCTCCGAAGAGACTCTTCACCTGACAGCCTCCGCTGAGGAGGACCAGATGCTCCAGGGCATCCCCAGCAGGATGGGTGTGCCGGGACAGGGCCTCGCTCCCACAGCGCCTCTGCAGCGCCCACTGCCCTCAGACCCATTTCTGGCATTCCCTGATCAGAGGCCTGTGTTATGGGGATTTGGGAACACGCCAACATATATAGTAAGATTTTCAAAACGTAAAACCAATACTCTGTTCACGTGGGATCTTGCTAAAGCTTAAATCTGTATGTCCAGAGATGAATGAGATCTTACTAACTAGGGGACAGAATATTTTCCATCTCATTCTTACAGACTTTCCTCAATGATTCAATTTCTGAGTAAGAAAAGGAAGAGCACTTTTCAGAGAATGACTGGAAATGAAGGGCATTCCAGTACTGACTGGAAAGTGCCGTGGCTCCTCACTCATCTCCCTCTTCACACTAAGTGTCGCCGTCAGACAGCCCTGCCGACTCCCCATGGCTTACCCTTGCCAGAGCTGGTGCAGGTACAGGCTTTACTGAGAAATCAGAAGCTGAAGGGATGGCCTCTAGCTCAGAGTCTGCATGATTCTACCAGTTTCTTTTTTTTTTTTTTTTGAGACAGAGTCTTGCTCTGTCGCCCAGGCTGAGGTGCAGTGGCCGGATCTCAGCTCACTGCAAGCTCTGCCTCCCGGGTTCACGCCATTCTCCTGCCTCAGCCTCCTGAGTAGCTGGGACTACAGGCGCCCGCTAGTTTTTTGTATTTTTTTTAGTAGAGACGGGGTTTCACCGTGTTAGCCAGGATGGTCTCGATCGCCTGACCTCATGATCCGCCCGTCTCGGCCTCCCAAAGTGCTGGGATTACAGGCTTGAGCCACCACGCCCGGCCGATTCTACCAGTTTCAACCAAAAACCTGAGCAACGTGAAACTGCAGGCTATACCCCATCTACTGGGGAGTCTCTAGCTTAGGCTCAGGCACACTCTGACACTGTCCTGGAGGCCCTGGTGTGATGGACTGGGGACTGAGCATGGGCTGGCCAGCTTGAGGCTCCCTCCAAAGCTCAAGGGAAGGGGGGAGCTCCAGGGTCCCCCGCCCCACCCAGCTCTACCCAGAACAGACCTGCTTGTTTGTTATATTCTGGAGCTGTGTGTCTGTGTAAATAAATAAACAATGTTATTTTTAAATAAATGGTTCTGCTGCTAAGCATTTTAAAACTCACTGGTCCAGGTAAGCCTCACCTCAAGCAATTGTTACAGCTTGATAATTGTGCGTGTCTGAGAGGGTTTCTTTGGAAGCTTGCCACAGAGAGTGGGTAGGGGAATGGGGAGAAAATCCATCTCCCATTCTGAGCCCAGATGTGCTTCAACATCCATGCCTGCTCCTAGGTGCCCTTGGGGTCCCTCCCCGCAGAGTGCAGGGTTCTCACAGCAGTCAGTCTTGCAGAGGACCTGCGTAGACATCTGGTCACCACTAAAGGGGCTGGGGCCAAGCCAGGCAGGCAGCCCGAAGCCTTAGTGCTACTCAGAGGCACGCCCCGGAGCATGGCTGGGGGATGTCACTGTCATATCCCGGTTCCTGCTTGCTGGGGACTTTCTGTCAGGACTGTAGTGAGTTTGGACACCCCTAAGGCCTTGGTTTGCTCCTTGCAGGCACTGCATGAGAAGCCCCAGAATTCTGCTACAGCAGGCCCAGGGGAGGGGAGCGCCCTGACAGCCATAGCACCCAGCATGCTCGCTGCTGGCTCCTGCCCCAGTGACAAGGGCAGAGCTCAGGCTCGGGTGATGCTGGGCTTGCTACAATTCCAAGGGTGGGAAGTAAGCGGAACCCCCTACGCTATTCCCAAACTGGCTCCGGGAGGCTTTCTCTCTCTTTACGTCCTCTGGATTCTCTCCTGGTGGCTGCTCAGCCCAAGGACCCCTGCACAGGTTCGGCTGCCGTGCCTGGCCCTCGGGGCTCAGTCAGCTCCCTCTGGGGTTCATCTCCCCCAGGCTGGTCTCTCCACTGAGTGCCTCCTGCAGCCCCGCATACTGAGCCGAGCACTAACACAGGGGCCCCTTAAGAACCCCGAGGGAAGCATTCTCTGGTCTCAATCCCAGAAGAGGCTATGCTGCTCTAAAGCAACTTGCTGGCTTTGATTTTGTAGCAGCTGAAACTTGTGGTCCTTTTCAGTGAGACAGGACAGAACAACAGAATAGAACGAAAGACACAGATCAGTGCACATCAGATGCCATATCAAAAACACCAATGAGAAGTACGGTCTCTGGGCAACTTCATTCCTGTCTTCTTAAAGGGTTGGGTGGAGTTTTCAGATATAGTTGAGGAAAAGGATGATACCCACCCATGCCTGTGCCTCCTAATGTCTCCTGCGAGCGCCAACAAGGCCCCATCCTGCCCCGTTGCACCGCAGACATCTGTGAAGTCCTTGGACTGGCCCTGCACTCCAAGGACTTTGTTATTACAGAAACCCAGCCAAGCCAAACATCAACTTAAAAACACATCAGGAGGACCCCATCCTGGGGTTTCTCTCCATCCTTTTCAGTCCTACCTGGGGCCCAGTCTGCTCCCTCATTCCTGCTCTGGCTGGTTCCCAGCCACAGTGAGAGGCCCCCACCCACTTACTGCACAGAGTTACTGTCAGGGGCCCGTGGGTGTCGCACAGCCTCCCTGGAAGGGTCCTGTCAGTGACAGCTGGTCCCCTCCCCTGACTGTCACTTATAGGCATGGTCCAAAAGCCCAAATCACTAATAGTAAACTTCAAACTCCTTCAAGAAAAGCTCAAAGATACTAGCTAGAGTTTAGCCTCAAAAAAGTAGTAGAATCTTCAGTAAGAAAACCATGAACCAAAAAACAAGTTTCCTTTTGCTAAACAAAATGTTCTTTATGTTTAAAGAAAAACGCCCAAGCTAAGTTTTCAATCAACCCTAAACCATATTTGGGTATAGGTGACTTAGGACTGTAGAAAAATAAAACCAAACTGACCAGGCTTAAAACCCTCAACTCTTTAGCCAAGCCTCAGGCTGCAGTCCCTCGGCCGGCAGGGTGCTGTGGGTACGCTTGAGAAAGGACCAGCATAAGGAGGAAGACGTGGTTCTTGCTTTCCTCCACGTTCTCATTCCGAATGTATGAGATCAAGCCACTGAGCCAGCAACTACTCATTCTCAGGGTATCTCCCACCATGGGCCTGCCCCCACCTCCTCTCTGGGATAGAGCCTTCAATGGCACCTAGTGAGAAGCTTTTGTTTTATTAAAAAAGAAAAAAACAAACAAAACTGGTAAATATTTTGCCCTTATTGCTTATAGTTATCATGCTCTTCTGAACCATCTTCACCAAGCTCTAGTCCTGGTTTATCCATTCCTAGAACGACCAGCCTGTTGGCCCTGACAGAGGCCACTAAGTGGGTCACTAGGTGGGCGAGCCCCTTGGTGATGGCAGACTTCCCTTGCCAGTGTGGACATCTGTAAACTACCTCGTGACAGAGGGCAAGTCAGGTGTCCCCTGAGAGGGTGGAGTGAGTTCAGCCGTTGTGCACAGATTATCCAACATGCATATGCTGATGGGTGCCTGGCTCTCTGCCTGCCCACCAGGCTACAGGAGTGCCTCACTGCCAGGGTCATCTCTGTTAAGAGGTTAGAGTGCCAATTAACTCCCCAGAGCAGGTTAAAGAAACCTCACTTGGATTTGGTATGTTGGAGCAGGATGAATTGAAATAAAGTAACCATGACGCAGGCGTTTGCCATGGGGGTGTGAGCAGTGCATGCAGGCAGTGGGAGAGGCGGTTTACCTCCTGCATGGGCCGGGAAGCGGGTGCATTTCAGGTATCCCACGAGACCTGCTCAATTACGGACTGTCAGAGGAGAGAGCAGACATGAGACACACAACCAATCCCTCACACACGCGGTGCCGCTCCCACCTCTGCCCGCCCTCCTGTGCATGACTGGCTCTGGACAGCACACTGAAGATATGCTGCTTCCTGGCTGGGGAAGGAGAGCAGGCAGCATCGTCTCCTGGAGGCGGCACCAGTGTCACAACAGTGACATGCAAGGAACACCACAGGCACAGCTGACAGCAGGCCAACACGAGCGGGGCTGGGTGAAACCTGGCCTCGAGGCAGGAGCCGATCATGCCAAGCACTGCTCTTCACAGCCCTGGCCTCTCAGTGTCACTGCCAGGAGGTGGCTCTAAGACAGACAGAGCTCAAAGCCACCAGAACCAGCCCAGCAGGGTGAGCTTGGCCTGGCTGAGTGCTGGGCCCTGGGCTTTCGCAGCTGCGGCCCACAGGAGCACCCTTACTTCAGTTTGGGCTCCTCTCCCCAGTGTCCCTCAAGCCCTTCCCACCAGGGGGCTGGACCCCAGTCTCACCTTGGACCTGATGTTTCTGAGTTGCCGGGTGACACAGGATCTGTCTTTCTTCAAGAAGTCAGGATTGCTTTTAGATTTCATTATATCTGAAGCATATAATGAAAACAAACAGACCTGTTATCTTTGCTTTCTAAAACCCTATGGAACCTGACTGAATCCTGAAACATTTCCCAAGCTTCCTACTGCAGCATACTTAGGACACTTCCTTGAACAACTCTAAGGGAATTAAAAGCCAGTAACCATAAAACATGCTAGATCTTTTCAGACCACCACAAAACACCAGCACAATGGGAGAATGTGTATGTGGGGCCCTGCCAGGGCTTCCTGCACTGTGGCTGTAGCCCAGAACAGCATTCCCTCCAAAGCGACTTGGTCCTCTCACTCCACTGTGGGATCTCAATGCTGAGCAGACCCCTACCCCCATTATCCATGATTCTCCACCTTCCTCCTGGTAGCGCAAGGACTGTCTAAAGCAAGATGGTAAGGCCAAGGCCTTCTCATCATCCACCCACCCAGACAGCAGTCCTTTAGGCTTCTTACAAATGTCTACTTAAATACCTGTAACACAAACATATATTGAGTCATATCACACATCCTGTGCATGTGTGAGGTTTTTTGTTTTCTCTATTTTTTTTTTTTTTTTGAGACGGAGTCTATCGCCAGGCCACAGTGTAGTGGTGCGATTTCAGCTCACTGCAACCTCCACCTCCAGGGTTCAAGCGATTCTCCTGCCTCAGCCTCCTGAGTAGCTGGCACTACAGGTATGTGCCACCGTGGAGAGCTAATTTTTGTATTTTTGGTAGATAGGGTTTCACCATGTTGGCCAGGCTGGTCTCGAACTCCTGACCTCGCGATCTGCCCACCTCGACCCCCCAAAGAGCTGGGATTACAGGCGTGAGCCACCGCGCCCAGCCCTCTTATTTCTTTTAAGAGACAGATTATTGCTGTGTTGCCCAGGCTAGAATGTAGTGCCTATTCACACGTGTGATTCCACTACAGCTCACCACAGGCTTTTTTTTTCTTTTTTTCTTTTTTTTTGAGGCAGGGTCTCATTCTGTCACCCAGGCTGGAGTGCAGCAGTGCAATCATGGCTTACTGCCACTTCCACCTGCTGGGCTCAAGTGATCCTCCCACCTCAGCCTCCTAAGTAGCGCTGGGACTACAGGTGTATAAATGCCAGCAGTCCCAGCTAGTTTTTTTGTACTTTTTGTACAGACAGGGTTTTGTCATGTTGCCCAGGCTGGTCTTGAACTCTTGAGATCAAGTGATCTGCCCACCTCAGCTTTCCAAAGTGCTGGGATTACAGGTGTGAGCCACTGTGCCTGGCCAGCACAGGAGTTTTGACCTGTTTCATTTTGACCTGAGCCAGTTCACCCCTTCTTAGGCAACCTGGTGATCCCCTACTCCCAGGAGGTCACCATATTGATACCAAACTTAGTGTGGACACCTGATCGACTTAGCTTTGTGCGTGACCACCCAGAACTCCTGGGCTCAAGTGATCCTCCCACCTCAGCTTCCTGGGTAGCCAGGCCTACCACCAAGTCTGACTACTCAAGGTATTTATGGAAAAATGGAGTCTTCCTCCCAGCATCTGTCAGTACCACCATAATCACTATTCCTTGCCTGACAGAAAAAAAGTTGATTTTTTTGGGGGGGCAGGTATTGGTGAGCTAGCACATCTTTTCCTGTTTGTGGGTCTTTATATAAAAATCAAGATGAAGGTCAAATGAAATTATGTATAATCTGGCCAGGTGCAGTGACTCACACCTGTAATCTCAGCACTTTGGGAGGTCAAGGTGGCTGGATCGCTTGAGCCCAGGAGTTTGAGATCAGTCTGGGCAACACGGTAAAATCCTGTCTCTACTAAAAATATAAAAATTAGCCAGGTGTTGTGGTACACGCCTGTAGTCCCAGCTACTGGGGAGGCTACGGTGGGAGAATCCTTGAGCCTGGGAGGCGGAGGCTGCAGTGAAATCACGCCATTGCATTCCAACCTGGGCAACAGAGCAAGACCCAGTCTCAAAAAAAAAATTACGTATGAGCTGAAAGTGCTTGATAAAATGTTAATTCTTTCATCCTCCCTGCCATCTATTTTTCACAGGGTACCTAAACGTTTTTAGCCAAGAAAAAAAAAGTCCTGCTGTTCATTTCAGAAAGCAGGGGGCTCCCTCCCATTCTCCACTCTATGGCCTTTTACAGATATTACAGTCAAATCCTAGGATCAAGCAGCTAGTGAGAGCTACTTCGGCCCAGTGGTTGAGTTCTTTAGAAAAACAAGACTTGTTATTACTTCGAAAATATTATGCTGATATTATGGGTTCTCCCTAGAGCAATCAGCACAGCATCCACTGCTGCGCTGGGGAGAGCAAGGCCTGTCTGGGGCAGCTGTGTGAGGCTGGTGCTCCTGCTCCACTGGGATGCCTGGGTCTACAACCATCACTGGGACTCTTCTGCCTCGAGTCAAGCACCGGGAAACCTCTATGACCAAACCCCCAGAAGCCCCCCAGCAATAGCCCAGAGGGCATGACCCAAGGACACACCGTATCCGGACACCGTGGCACTGTCAGGGGACTTTTCCCCCAGCGCTTCCGTTGCAGCCTTGAGCTGTTCCTTCAACCTGCTGATGTCACAGTCAGCCTTAGCCTTCGCGATGCTGAGCTCTGTGTAGATGTCTTTGTACTTGTCACTTGCGTACTTCTTGTCCTTGGGAGTGAAATGACAGAGAATGGTAGTTACATCCAGGAAAGAGGAGCACGCACAACGTGGCCTGTCTCCCTGGGGACTGAATACGGTGGGGAGGCTTGCTTTGGGCAGGAGAGGAGGCTTGTTCACCTCTGTCTTCTAGAGGCAGAAAGTGGACAGAGAGGAAAAACCATGGGGCCTGAGGACACGGGCACAGCCATCAGGACGTGGAAGGATAATCTCCAGGCCCCGTGAGTGCAGGAGGCAGTTCCGGGACTACCCGACCAGCCTGGTGTGGCCCTGAGTGCCCAGGCCCCTCCCTTGTGGGCTTTAGCCTGGAAAATCGTCTCTGTGTCTTGGATTCCCTAGGTGACTGAGTGACCACCAATGATTCTGTCGTCTCCCCTGATTCCAGGTGTCCCTGGAGGAGGCTGGTGAAAGCCAGGAGGTGGCTCAAATGGAAGTCAAGCCTTGCCTCACTTCACAGGCCTTTTCTCTGGAACATTCCTCCCAAAGGACACAAAAAGCACATACACACTGATGCTGGAGCCAGGCCAGGCAGGTTGCTCATGTCCACGTTCCCATAGCACCTGCCTGCAGGCTGGTCTTTCAAGAGAACTTGATTTTGGACAGTGCCTTCCTCACAAGAGTAAAATCTGCTTCAGAAGAACCCACGCTGAGCCCCAGCCTGAGTTCAGGAGGCGCATGTCACCTAGAGCCTGTTCCTGTACCCGCCCTCCTGCGGTGCAGTGGCCTTACCCGCAGTGCCGTCTGCAGCTCATCCTTGAGGGAGCTAATTTCCTGTTTCAGGTACTGTATTTCCGATTCCTTTACCCGCAATAAGACCTAAAATGACAGAGAGATTAGGGACCAATATTCAGGAGTAAATGAACCAGGGTCTCCAGAGCAGGCTGAAGCGTGCAGAGGACTCTCCAATCACCAGTGAGCAGGGCAGCCCCGTAGTGCCCAACGCGGGGAAGCATCCTTTAAACACCGCTCACAGCTTCAGCCTCACATACAGAAACAGGAAGAGGAAAGAAACGGCCGTGATTCCTCCCAGTGCCAAGGACTCCCTCCTCAGCCTGGGGTGCTGTGAGCTAGACCTGCTTGTCTCTGGGGACCAAGCCCGCGAGAATCAAGAAATGTTACCACTGACACTTGTGTCAGACTCACTCAGCTTCTCCTGCCCGCCTTTTTGGTAAAGCACTCATTTAGTACAAGGCACAGGCACAGCAGACAGAGGCCTCACACCTGGACTTGTGGCAGGAGCTGATCACACCAAGCACTGCTCCCTCCCAGCCTTGGCCTCTCAGTGTCGCTGCCAGGAGGTGGCTCCACTACAGAGACGAAGCTCGAAGCCACCAGAACCGGCCCAGCCGGATGAGCTCTGGCTGGCTGAGTGCTGAAATTTTAGCACATTTTAGGGTGAAATTTTAATTGAACGTGGAGAAATCTAAGTGCCTTCCTATAAGGACACCCTATACTCCAGAATCTATCATTCTGACATAAAGCGAGCCTCCCTGACCTGAGCTGCAGCAGCCACATGGCTACAGAACGTGTCCTTTTGAGTGGTGTTTGCGGCATGGCAGAAATGGAGAGGAGTGCGTGGGGAGAGTCAGATGGGGTCAGGATCCCCACAGCCTCTCGAGGGCCCCGCTCGGCTAGTGGCTCTCACGCCACTTGGCAGCTCACTGCTCCTCGCCACCTCCAGGTGACTTGGATCTTCCTGGACCCTGCGACTCCTGCTGTCTCAGGTCTGTCCCTCCCACAACCCTGTAAGGGGCCATGCCGCACTCCCCTGGGGCTCCTGGGTGCAGAGCTGAGTCAGGCAGGGCCTGGCTCCTGATGGTACCTCTAGTTCATAGGCATCCTTGCCCTGTGCAAGGGGTGACCCAGTGGCCTCCCCACCGCCGTCCCCAGTCAGCAGCGTCCGTAACCGTGTGATCTCTGCAGCCAGGCGGTTGTTCAGCTCCTGGGGGACAGCAACACAACAGTGACACTCCAGAGCTGCCTGGGGCCAAGTCGCATGACACGACCCGGGAAGGCCATTTCCCTGGGTTCTTTGTGTATCTGTGGAACTGTGTAGGTGTGATCCAATCGATAATCCTTAATTCCTTTCTGTCACAATAACTAGTGTCAATCTGTTCCATGGCTGGTCCCATCTGAGCTCCTGTGGGGTCATCTTTAAGCCACAGCAGTAATGAGTGGACCCAGTCCTGCCTGAGTAGTCTCGTACACAGCCCTGTGCAGCAGCCATACCCCTTGGGAAGGCCTCAGGTGAGGATGAGACTATGTGCCCAGTCCCAGGGGGTGTTTGTGCAGGGCGGGGTCATAGAGGGCTGTTTAGTTTGGTGCCCACATAAAAGCCAATATTGAACGAATCCTGACTCGAACCTTTCAATTAGCCAGGATTTAAATGCACTCCAATTAACTAAGGAACAAGCAAATTTTTATTTTTATTATTTTTTTTTGAGACTCCTAGGCTGGAGTGCAGTGGCATGATCTCGGCTCACTGCAAGCACCGCCTCCCGAGTTCACACCATTCTCCTGCCTCAGCCTCCTGAGTAGCTGGGACTACAGGTGCCCGCCACCACGCCCGGCTAATTTTTTGTATTTTTAGTAGAGACGGGGTTTCACTGTATTAGCCAGGATGGTCTTGATCTCCTGACCTCGTGATCTGCCTGCCTTGGCCTCCCAAAATGCTGGGATTACAGGCGTGAGCCACCACACCCAGCCAGAGCAAGCAAATCTTAAGAAAAAAATCTGACAAAAATAAATGTGAGCAGTAAGCCTGACCCTGAACAGTGTCAGCTCAGTCCCTGAGGGACAGGATCCTGGAGGACTGGGATGACCCTGTCAGGCCCTGCCCAGAAACAGGGAGCCAGAGGTTCAGAGGAGCAGAGAGAAGACACCAAGACACCCGAGAGTCTCGGAAAGGGTCAAAGCAAGAGTGACATCATGTGTATGCAGGTGGTGTACGTGGCAGTACAGCCTTGCTCTAGCTATCCGCGGTGACGATTCTGACAACACAGATGGCCACGCTGGATGGCAGGGAGAAGCCTTGGGGCAGGTGACCACTCTGTGGCTCAGGGACCTTCATGCCACTTTGAGGGTGAGGCCTGGCTCTAGCACTGGCTCACCTGACTATGGGTCTACCTGACCTTGAGTGCCCCTGACTAACCTTGGGCTCACCTGGTTGCAGGCTCACCTGGTTGTGGGCATTGAGCTCTTGGTTCTCACGCTGGCACTGCCGCAGGGCCTGCCGCTCGGCTTCCAGCGCCTGGGCCAGGTGGGCATTCTCCAGGCACTTCTGCGAGTACTGCTCCGAGAGGACCTCCAGTTCCCGCTGTACCGACTGCAGCTCCTCCCTGGGGAGAGGGCAGCACTCACTCCTCTGCCTGCTTCAGGAACAGGCCTCTCAGAGGCCGGTGTCCCTCCTTGACATCAGACACAGCCAAGCACAGGTCAAGCCTACACAGCCTGTTGTCTTAATCAGCCTGGGTCATATAGAGCAAGGGATCCCTTACAGAGATGACCTCACCCTCACATCCCTCCCTGGTCCTTTCTCACAGTCTGACAGTCCTACAGCTAGCACTTCTCTGGAATGCCAGTCAGGACAGAATCCAGTCTGCAGCCACACAGACCTCCCATTTCTAGACTCTCTTCTGACTCAGAGTTTGTTTTCAGTAAACCCACTTTCGAGGCCATCTGTGTCTGACAGCCAGGACCAGGCTCGACACAAGACTCAAAAAATCAAGCTTCCTGAGGTTGTTCTGCCACCCTGGATCCAGGAGGGCCATCTCTCATGCAGGTGAACCAGGGATGAGGGGCTTCCAGGTGAGCCACCCTGCTCTGACCGAGGTCAGCATGAGCCTCTACAGGGTGCCACTGACCGCTGCCAGCTCCTGAGGCAGGACCCCTAGCTTCAGCTATACTATAAAGGCTCCTGGTAGAGCCTGAGTGCCGTGACGTTCATGGTGGCCAATCTGTGGGCTCTTGGCTGTGTCAATTCTACCAAGTGAAAAAAGTTTACAGCAGTTATTCTAGTATTGTTCTATCCTGCCTGTGCAGAGGGAACCAGCACATGTGTGGTTTTAAACCGCAGTGCTAGTTCTCACTTCTGCCCGGTATGACTAAGTCCAGCTGCCTAGCTCCTGGTGGGCTAGCGGGGCAGCTGTTGAGGAACATATCTGGGTGGTCGCTGGGATCAGCCCTGGACAAGAGGGGAATTTAAGATTTCGTTTGTTGCATCTCGTTCTTGGCATTTCAAGAAACAGTCTCTCTGAACAGAGGAGGCCCCACTTGGGCCACATCCTGCACTGGACAGGAGGGCATCTGAGTTGCTCCCAGCACCCATGGGCCCCAGGCCCCAACTTTTGGAGGCCTCTGCAAAGACACAGGAAGGGCCCAGCTGAGGCCTGGCCAGCCACCTTCCAGAGGCCCTCCCAAAGGCAGATGGGCAGGCCCAGCCACTTACAGGTACTGGCGCCGTAGGGCCTCAACGTCCGAGTTGACGCTGCTGATCTGGGACCGCTGGCTCTTCTCCAGTTCCCGCTCCATCTCCTCCCGGTGGGCATTCTTCATGGCTTCGATGGCTGCAGGCAAGGACACGGCCTCAGCACCAAGGGGTCATGCCCTTCCTGCTGGCAGGGGTGGGGGAGGGGAGCTCCATACAATGGAGTGGCACTTGCCACTGCTGATGCTTGCTTACTCAATCAGCAGTCGGATTTTGCATGACAGGCTGGCCCCTCATGAACCAATTCTCTGAGGTGGGCGCGGGCTGGGAGAATTCTCCATGAACTCCCCCTGGAAGGAATGCACGTTTGGCTTTTTTTTTTTTGATGTTAGAAGAAAACCAAACTGATTAAATAAATGTCAATGTTAAATGCCAACATGAGTTTATAAAACAAGCAAGCTTTTGTGCTGGTGTATTTTATTCCTTGGAACTAAATTAACAAACAACTGAGGTGGCAATTACATAAAGAGAAGGCAGTGCAAGGCACAGGGGACGTGCTTGTTTAGGGCCACCTGCCGGTGAGGCTACATATCCTCACGCTGAGGGCAGGGGCACTCTGGCCAGAAGTGGTCCCACATTGACAGGAGTCTGTCAGGGGGAAAGTCACTGGCTGGACTGACACTAGCCAGTCTACTTGTTGGGACGGGAAAGTCACAGGTTGGGACAGTTCCTTGTGTGCAGCTGGCCACGACGGGGCTGTCGGGTTGAAGTGTGCGCTCTCAGCTCACAAACTCTCAAAAGGGACCTGAAATTGGCCTTTGCCTCAGAGTGAATAGTCACAGAACCCTTCAAGAATGAAGCTTACATCTCAGCCAAAAGGCAATTCAAAAGCGGCCATTCCTCTGAGTTGTGTGTCTGGCTCAAGAAAAGCTGGTCACCCTGCCCTCAGAGTTACCCCATCCCCCACCTGAGATGGTGGCCGCTGTCTCCTCGGCCAGGAGGCGGTCTTTCTCCTCCCGAAGTTTCTCTAGCTCCCGCTGGTGCTGCCTCTGCAGATCTTCAATCTTCTTCTGGTGCGTTTCTTCCATTGCTGCAAACCCTCGCTCGCACGTGGCCTGCAAAATGCAAAAGGGGCTTCATCGACTTCTTTACCTCTAAGTTGGGGCCCTTTTTAGTAAAGGAGCCAGGAATCCCACCCCGTCCAGGCCCAGCTGTGACTGGGCACTCACTGAGCGTGCTTCACCATGGGCATCCTGAGCAGGATCCCTGGGGCTGTCTAGGGATTCTCAGTGATGCCATCAGAGCCTTCAAAAAAGGGTGTTTCTAGTCAACTCTACATCTTATTTCTGTGATTGTGCTGTGCCCCATTTCTTCCTGGAAGAAGTTGGTATGGTGGGTTGGGAGAGGCTGCTATGAAATGGAAATCAGCCAATCCCGGACCTTCCTGTGTTGCTGCCAGGTGGGTCCCATAGGAAGGAGGGAGGAGAGAGCACGTGTGCAGGGGCTGGCTGCGTCTGGTATGGAGGGACACAGTGAAAGGCCCGTAAAACAGGGATGAGGGACTTGTCTGCTGGAGGGAACCAAGGTCATTCCACGTATAGGGAGTGGCCTGGCGGGCACCAGGCTGGGAACCTCTCAACCCACAGTGGGTTGGGGGCACACACAGTCCACTTCTGGGAGCTGGGGGTTGGGCTCTGCCACTAGCCAGCTGACAACCTCCAGCTGGTCACTTAATGCTCAAGTGTTGACTGAGGGAATAAGATGAGGCTACAGGATCTCCTTCCTTCTAGCCTGTGTCTTCTTTCTTACTTTTTTTTTTTGAGACGGAGTCTCGCTCTATCGCCCAGGCTGGAGTGCAGTGGCGCGATCTCGGCTCACTGCGAACTCCGCCTCCCAGGTTCACACCATTCTCCTGCCTCAGCCTCCAGAGTAGCTGGGACCAGGCGTCTGCTAAAAAACCACGTCTGGCTAATTTTTTGTATTTTTAGTACAGACAGGGTTTCAACGTGTTCGACAAGATGGTCTCGATCGGCCTCGTGATCTGCCCACCTCGGCCTCCCAAAGTGCTGGGATTACAGGCATGAGCCACCGCACCCGGCCCTTTCTTACTCTTTTCTTAAAGGAGAAGGGCACCAATGACTTAGTACCTCTGCTAACTCCAACAAGACAGGAGACCTGCTTTCCAAGCTCTCCCGTACCTCACTAGAGCGACACATGCATGCCCCAGGATGGGAGCAAGCCACACCAGGAAGCCCAGGCCTGGTTATCGGAGCTGCACTCACTAACAAAGCAGGTGAGCGTGCTGCACAGCTGCTGGGAGGGGTGTGTGTGCAGCTATTTTGAGCATGGAGGCACACACTTTCTGTCTAAATCCTTCACATGGTCTGCTTCAGAGAAGGGACTGGGCCTCTCGCTGAGTTTTAAAAACTGGAAGAACGTGGCCACATTCCATTCGAAATTCAAGTGTGGGGGCTTCCCCACTCTGGGCTCACAGCCTGCATCACTTGGCTAATCTTCTTGCATGTGGATTCAAGAAAGGATACCAAGAGATCCTATCAGCATGCCTGGGCATCTTTCTCTGGGCCCACTTTTAGCGATGGCCATCTCTGAGAGCCTCAGGCAGTATTTCCAAACTCGTGATCAGTCTGGACTTGACTGTAACCTATGTGCTGCTCTGGGCGAACAGCTCAGCTACTGCCACTATAACTGGGCATCCCACCCCCTCTCCCAGTGGCTCCACCTGGAAGCAGCTGTCTCTTCCCGCCACCCTCACACCTCAGGACGGCTGCAGGAGCTCGGAGCTCTGGAGCTCCTGGTCTTCAGACCCCACGTTTGAGCTCTTCTTTCTCCTTCCCACTTGCTTTGGTTCGTATGTGGCTTCTCGTTAACACATTTAACTAATAGGTCTTTTTTAATTAAAAAAAAATATGGAATACTTCACGAATGTGTGTGTCATCCTTGTGCAGCGGCCATGCTAATCTTCTGTGTATCATTCCAATTTCAGTAGAGGTGCTGCTAAAGCGAGCACAACTAGTATTAATAGATCTTTTAGGTCTTTTTTTTTTTTTTGAGTCTACTTGCTGGGAAAAGCCTTATTTTGATCTGAGTGCTTTGGAATATTAAGCAGGTAAGAGTCAAAAATCTAACAGAAGCACTGGGACATCTTTAAAGACCCAGTTGCTTCTTTGGAGAGAAACTATATGCTAAAAAATAACTGATCTTGCAAACAAATGTTAATTTAAGCCAGTCATTCCTGGGACCAAAAGGAGTTCCTCGATGACTACAATTGTGGTGTGGTGGAAGCCTGTGGACATTAGAGGACGGCTGTTAGGCCGAGACCCTGTCCCCAACGACCCAAGTGGAAATCTGCATAAAGTGATGAAATCTCAAGGTGCTGTCTATTTACAAGTTCTGTATGTCTGCAGGGGTGGGTGAGAACCCCACACCTGGGCTAGAAGCTCCCAGGCACAGGAGGGGACACTATGCAATGGCAGCTAAGGCAGCAGGGAGTGGACAGTGTCCAAGCCCTTGGGAGGGGCCTCATCCTGACCTGCATCATCTGTTTCTCCCTGCTGGTGACACTGGCCTAGCACAATCTCTGGTCAGTTCTCAACATGAGGCAGTCCTCTCCCTTCTGATTTCTTGCTCACTGGTGGTATAATGGCACCTCCATGGGGCCTCGCCTGCACCTGGTTGGCAAACCTAAAGCAGCCTCGGTGTGGAGGGGGCTCTTACAGATGCAGACAGGAAGCAGGGCATCGCTGTGCCCAGGCCCTGCCCCTGTGGACCCTGCTGATTGTCTGGGATGCTGCAGGGAAGGACGCTAGCAAGCATGTTTGGGGGTCAAAGCAAAGGTTTGTGCAATTAACTTTTCAAGGTGCACCTGGCCCCATCTGGGTGCTGCTTTTGGTGAACTGACCACAGTGTCATCACATACACACACTTTCAAAAGATAGCTGTTGAAACCTTCTCACAACTCATAATGGTTTTTAAAAGGTTTTGACTGATTTGGGGAAAGAATGGTGAAAAAGAGCTTCTCTGGCTAACGCCTGTAATCCCTGTACTTTGGGAGACCGAGGCAGGTGGATCACCTGAGGTCAGGAGTTCGAGACCAGTCTGATTAACACGATGAAACCCCGTCTCTAGTAAAAATACAAAAAAAATTAGCCGGGTGTAGCGGTGAGCGCCTGTAATCCCAGCTACTTGGGAGGCTGAGGCAGAAGAATCGCTTGAACCTGGGAGGTGGAGGTTGCTATGAGTTGAGATCACGCCATTGCACTCCAATTTGGGCAAGAGAGCGAGACTCTGTCTCAAAAAAAAAAAAAAAAAAAAAGCTTCTCAGCTCTCCAGAGGTGCTCGCTGACAACCTGTGTGTCTTGGTGGGGCCGAGTCCATCACACAGACGTGACGTGTGAGCTGCTGTTTCCATTCAGAGCTACAGGAGTAAGGGGCTGGGAAAAACAGGTGTCCTGCCGGACAGTGGCTGTGGGGATGTGCAGACGGGAGCAGTGGCAGCCGCATGGGAGTCAGAAGCTCGCTGCACAATGGTGCTGGCTGTGTGTGCACCTGGCTCTGCCACATGAGCGTGGGAGGCGCCACCTGAACATGGCTTTTGAGGGGCTTAGTCATCCTAGTCATTTACTGGGGCAGCTTCCTGAGTGGGAGGAACATAAGGGCACAGGTATCACGGTAAACTTCTGAGTCTAAGGGATGACGCTTGGCAGCCACACATGGTGGGTGTGGTCTGTAGCTACAAAGAGTGGGGCCAGAGAGTTGGACCTCCACTCAGCCCACCCCCACCCCCAGGCCCTGGCATGTCGCCTTTGTGCTCCAGGACCTCAGGGGCGGGGGTGCAGGGCAGTTCTGGGGAAAAGCTACTTGTAAAGGTCCTGGGGAAGGGAACAGGAATGGCTGGAGGCTGTGCTCAGTGGGAAAGCTCTTCTCACCAGAGCACACATCAAATGCCAGTTCCAGAGAGAGACCCTATGCCCAACCGTGCTCTCCTAGGGCAATCAGGGGGAGATTGCCCTCCAACTGGGCCCTGGCTCTCCGGGGTGTTGCTGTGATTGCAAGGCTGTCCTCAGGCAGCTGCCTCAGATTTGGGCTGGGACTGGGCCAGGTGAGGTTCTGGGGGCGGGGGCAGGAAGGAGGCAAGGCTGGCAAGGGGATTGGTGACTACTCTCAGGAATACGGAGAGGCCACATTAGGAAGGCAGAGAAATGCTGGAAAGACTACATGCTCCTCTCCCACCAGGGACCCTGGCGGCCCTCCTGCTAGTTCTCCTGGTGGAGGACGCCGGGGGATGCCGAACAAGAGGCTAAGCCCACGGCCCAGGCCCTGCTGAGACCACAGCACGGTCAGCAAGCAGAGGGACAGCAGCACATCCCCTCAATTCTGCTTGCACAGTAGCTGAGCCAGACATCCCCACACCCACCCCGTTATCAAGGAGGATCTGCTTTGCAAACTGAATGGGGCGTTAAGACCTTAAGGCTCTCCAAGTCCCTCTGGTACTTCTCGCGCAGTGTGGCCGCGTCGCCCTCCAGGTCCTTGTGTCCCAGCTCCTCCCGCATGACGTCCATCTGGGCCTCCAGCTCCTGGATGCGCTCTCTCAGCCCAGTCATGGAGTCAGCCTCTCCCTGGGTGGCCTGCCAGTCGGGGGCAGGGGCCGGCAGGGCCTTGGGGTGCGGCCCCTGGTGGAGGCAGAGGGTGTCCTGAAGGCACCTCAGGCTCTGCGAGTAGTGCTCCTGCAGGGTCCTCAGCTCCTCCTCATGGATTGTCTGCAGCTCCCGGACCTTGAGCTGGAACCTGTCCTCCAGGGTCTGTATCTGCTCGCCATGATGCCTCTCCATGTCCTGCCTATCTCTGACCGAGGCATCCAGCTGGCTCAGGACCCGGCTGCGCTCAGCCTGCAGTGTGCTCTCAGTCCTGGTCAGCTGCTCCACCACGCACCGGATCTCCTCCTCATACCTGCCCCGCAGGGTGAACATGCTCATGCTGTGCTTGCTCTCCGCATCCTCCAGACACTGCTGCTGATGGTCTAGCTGGGCAGCCTTGGCCTTGAGCTCTGCATTCTCCCTTTCAACGATGGCGATCACATCCAGGTACTCGCTCTTCT